TGCTCTATGGAGTCTACTGTAAGAAATGACAGAGCAGCAGTGCTGGTTTCCCAGAGCTGGGCACCATGGAACAGCAAGCAAGTACTGAATAAGAGATGGAAAAGCTTCTCCTGCTCTTCACTTCCTCAGAAGGAAGAGCAGCCCGATATGCACGGATGGAAAAAAAAGAAAAAAAGTTTGATGACAAATCCATTTTCTGCTCAATGTCATTGTCTAAAAAGTGGTGCTTTTTTTTTTTTTTAAAGCCTAAAGTCAATTCACAACTCTGTTAATGAGAAGCATTGCTGAAAAGTCATTCCGGTGTGGAAATAATTCCCACCTCAGAACATTAAGTGAGTGCTGCAATAAAAGACATACATTACATCAGCACTGATCATATGGGAACACAGAATCTATGTCATGACTAAAATACTTAAGTGACATCTTTATCACCTGGACTCCCTCACAGGCTGCACAACAAATTTAATGACCTTTGCCAACAGGCTGCCTCTGGGATACCTGTGTATTCCCAGTTTTCCTAAACATTATAACCAAGGTCAAGAACAGTAACTTATAAAGTGCAATATGCAGCACAACCACACATCGGTATTGCTGCTACTTCAATAAAATTATGAACAGACTGAAACATTTTCAAAAAGCAGTGAAATACTCCCAGGCCTTCAGACACTCACTTGTGTGCCCTAGGGATAACAACTGTGAAACATCTTCTTAATCTGAAGAAAAACATAACAATAAAAAACCAAACACATCTCTCCTTTCAAAACTCTAGTGACACAGAATTTATATAGAATCTTGTTGCAAACAACACCTTCTGCCAGAAGAAGTTGTTTGAAAAATACCTCATTTTCAACATGATGAACCAAAATGGAGCAAGAGGAGCTAGATGTGGACAACAGGCTGGAGCACTGCAACTCCTCATCTCCACAGCAAGTATTGCCAGCACAGTCAAGACTCTTCACACAGACACTGTCAAATCTCATTTCCCTACAGGTGCATCTGCTATTATAAACTTCATCCAATTTACTAAATGCTCTCATAAAAACTCAGCAGATGAAAACACTCACAGGTACAGACTAAAAAGGAGTTTCTAAAGCATTTAGTAGAGGACAGTAATCGAGAGCAAAATAACACATCTTGCAAAACAATCACTCCACTTTTCATTTCTTGCTCCCCCTTTCAAGGAGGTGCATCCTCCTTAGCCTGCACAGCAATTAACTATCATTATTTTTCCTCAGATGCTCTCAATGACACCTAATTAAATTCAGAGACTCTCAGTTGCTGAAATTTATTGCCTGTATTTCACAGATGAAGGAGCTGTATGCCCAAAACTATCTACTTTTTTTCCAGTTTATATATTAAATATAAAATTACCTGTATGTGCAAATTGTTTCTTAACTATATCTTGAAGTGCATTACAGCTCCGAAACAACCACCGAAAGGACTTTCCTCTAAGTCAAACAGCCAGAAAGTTTGTTCGGAGTTTTATAGTCCAACAAACAAATTCAGAGGAACTGATCCCCACAGGAAAAAAATGTAGTCTGCTTAATTTTTTTTTCTTCCTTTTTTTCTTTTCTTTTTTTTCTCTTTCCTTTTTTTTTTTTTTTTTTTTTTTTTTTTTTTTTTTTTTTTTTTTTTTTTTTTTATAATTCTTCAACCTTAAGAATTTTAAAATTCTAAAGACTCTTCTTGGATTCTTTCTGACCAAATAAACTGGGAAAGCCTTTTCATCTTGTTAGTAAGTGCAATATTTCAGGGCCTTGTTACTGGTGGATAATGCCTTTGCTTTGTCACTAATTTGTAACAACTTAGAAAAAGGCAAAAATATCTAACTGACATTGAGAATTGCAGCATAAAATAGAAAACTGACTGTCTATGTTAGCATAGGTGCTTTTATAACCATTCTGCTTTGCCATCACTAGTTATCAGTAGCTAACAAGTGCTAAATGATGTTATATAATCCATACATTAATTGAAAACAAATGTATTTAGAGCAAAAATGTCAGATTGATGTACAAAAATACATTTCACAAATTTTATTGTTCAGCAAAGCACATTACATGATATAAACATGCAATCATTCAATAATCTGAATTGTTAAACACCTGTTTGTATTAACTCTGATGTCATTCATTCTGCTTTAATCATACTGGAAGAAGTACAACTTTGAAATTGTCTGTAGGGGAATGAAAGTCAAATTTGTAGCTGTCATTTCTTCTTCTATAGACCTATTACTGAAGTGTAATTAATTTTTTTCCAACTGCTTAAGCACAAAGAGGATTTTCCTGTTCTGTGTGTAACCCATTACCAAAGACAAAAGGAAAACTTCTGTCCTTGGTTGTATTTCCAGGAGCCTCGTTTATTACCTGGGATTCCCAGTGTTCCTAGTAGATGTTTCTACTATACTTACTTCTAATGGAAAATTTCCTCAATTCTTTCCCACCCCTCTTCCTAAATACTTTGTTGATTGTGAGGCAGTCTATGTGATAGAAGAAAAACAAACTACCAAGCCTTTCACCTGTGTTTGGGCCACACAGGCTATTCTGATTTTAGAAGAGCCACCCCTTTTTTTTGTACCTGCCCGTGCCATTGCTTGTGTGTAGCTGGAGTCCAGCGTCCTGAGAAGGTGGTGGCACAATGCCTGGTGGCAGCACACAGACATCACAAGCCAGCACCTCCCATGATGGGTGATCTTATGTCTTATATGCTGCATTCTAAAGTTGCTGATCCCTGGATGCTCAAGGGTGCTCAAGTCTTAAAATCCTGCCAGAATTCATTCAAATGACAATGTGTATATGTCAGCAAATTGGTACATTTCATTTTTTCTAAAAGCCTAATATACCCAGATAAACTTGATTAAAACAGCTATTCTCCAAAACCAGTGGCACAGTTAACAAACCAACACTTAACAAACAGTTAAAGCAGGCTCTGTTGACTTTGCTTTTGCAAGGAAAAGGAACTGAAAAAACCCTAGTCTCTTCCATTTTTACCTTTGCTCCCATCTGCATATCATATTTGCACTGTTAATGGTAAAAAGAGGTCTTTAGTGGAGGAATAAATTATCATCTGAGAAAAAGTAATACCTGTAGCACAAATAGGGATGATTAATTTAGTCACGAACCTGCACTCATTTCCCTGTGGCAAGACTGTTCTGAGAACATGAATTTGATAGAAAGCAAATGCATAAGGAATTCACATTCAGAAAATGTAAAAGAGCATCCCTTCATCTCTCAGATTTTCAGGCAGTTTGTATAATATCCAGACATTTTTTCAAGACAAAGAAAATATCAGCTCACTAGCAAGTTAAAGGGAAGCACTAAGTCATCTAGATAGCAGAATATAACATTCAAATCTTATTATTTCATAGATAAACCTTTAAAGTGTTATCTAAAATAACATACATGGTTACCAGACCAAATAACCCTTATAAACTATGCTGAAAATATCATCTTTATTTACAGGAAACTAATTAATATGAGCTTTAACTGTGCATGGCATCTGCAACAACTCTTTTTTTCCCCTCAGAGCCAGACCATGGCCCATCTTTACAGCACTGGACAGAAGTACAGAGGACAATGCTCCTACCCCCACAAGACACACAGAGGAAGAAAGCACTGGCCCAGAGAAGATCTTGCTCACCTGCTTCTGGAAGAGGTGGGAGGCAGCTCGCAAACTATTACTTTCTGATCAGGCATCGTGTTTTGTTATCTATCTCACCTTTTAGTCTTTACAATTACATGCAACCTTTTGCTCAAGTGAACTGTGAAGTTGCTATTCCAGCCCTTGGTGTTGTTCTGCCAATAGATTGTGTAATTTAGGAAAATTAGGCTTAGACAACCTTTCATTATGTATGAGCTTCTATATACACAAATTATCATTATCTTCCAGGTCTATTAGTAATCATAACTACAAAAAATAGCCAAAGAAAAAATGGGAGTATATGATTATTTTACAGGCACTTCCATAACTATGTACATTGTTTCATAATTAATCTACTAAATTCCAAAGCTGCTTTAAAGAAGAGCAACTAGTTTGGGTTGTATAAAAACGTTGCCTCTGAGACACAAGAAATCCCACACTGCTTTACAGAGCACGAATTATGTACTAGAGAATCATTCTTTGCAAACAGAGCATCCAGTATGCACTCAGAATTAGCTCACACAGAGCTTTAATATTAGCACTATTAGCACTTGCTCTTTTATAATTTAATGAAAATGCTCTGCTTCAAAAGAAACAACTAATCAGATAATCACATTAGACTGTATCCCAAAGGCCTTACTCAGTGAAGCTCTCAGGAAAATCATTGAATAAAGCAACAGGATTAAGTCTTTTATGACCACACACAGTATCTATCATAAAACACGGCCAACATTCACTTTGAGGTTGTGAGATTATTACATGGTTTTACCTGTGCTCTATAAAAATGTCATGTTAAACATATTATAAAATGGTACAGGAGTGTTAAATATTATTAACATATTACTTTTATTATTAATCACCATTGCCTATCACCAAAACAGTAGTACTTCAAAGTAAACACTGCAAAACATATAGGTGGTTTAGTAGAAGGAATGTTGACAGATTCAAGCACTTTGCATCTCTTATCTATCCCTAGGATCTAGAAATAAGGCATATGGTCAAAAGATGAGGAGAGGTCAAGGTAACAGCCTGAGTGCTTTGCTTTCCTTCTACACACCTTAACTTTCTCAAGTTATGCTGCTGGATTCCTCAGAGCAAATCTGGTATCTTCAGGAGGTCATACCTGAGGAAGGCTGTTAGCTGGCTGAAACATGGTTCTTTTATTTTTTTCACTTCCCTGTGTACAAAGGAAACAAGTAGTGACTAGCTAGAGAGTTTAGACTGGGAAAAAAAAAAACGATTTCTGTCAAGAAAATAACTGTGTGGCCTGAGAGCTTTCACTTGCACAAGCTCACACATTTATATACAACTGACACTATCCCACAAAGCTGGAGAACTGATGACAACAATGGGATAAAAACTTGACAGTTTTCCCATACAGCACTGTCAAAACTCCTCATCAGTAGCTGTAAACAGAATTAGCAGGCTGGCCACTTGGCAACCAAATGCTTTTGCTTTTGCATTCTTACAGCGTGGCGCCGTCTCCTTTTAGGCTGAACACACTCCTGTCCATATGATGGCCACTGGAAGTCTTTGGAGGGCATTTTGTTATTGTGACTCTCCACCTCTTCAGAATCGGAGTCATCTTGTTGCATCGAAGGAAAATGTCTGTCTGGATAAATCTCCTTCAGTTTGCCCTGAAAGAATACATCTAAGCATCGTCCAGCCTCAGCAACCTCCGAATCTGGCTGTAAGAGAATAAATAATCATTCAGTGGTATTGCACACTGAAGTCACCAAGGATCAGAAAGAAGCTCCTACCCTTCCCTACCATCTTGCCTTGGTTCTGTCCACTACATCCCCATTAGTCTCCTACGCACTTTCTACAGACCATTAGTCCCGCTGCATTCTCAGTGTAAGTAAAAACCAGATGCAGCTATTAAGGGAAACATTTCTGCATCTATAAGAGAGATGTGCAGTGGACTAGACAGAAGAGCAATCTTCATTGCTCAGGAATTTCTATGCACCTGCCTTTTGCTAGCTGTTTTGCTGGATATGCCTGGCTTCTCAAGGTAAGCTCAACATCATTCCAGAAAGTTGTTCATTAAAGCCATCCTTCTTTAATTTTCTCACCATACACAGCACCAGGTCTCAGATACAGAACTTATGTAATTAAAAAAATGCATATAATTTCCAAAGGAAAAAAACCAAAAAAACCAACCCTTTCTCTTTATCCCAGTCACACATCTGATGTCAATGGAACCAATAGTTACACCAGTGTGACAACTTGAAAGAGCAAGGCTCCAGTTTAGCAGCTCTCACCCGTGCACAGTAGATACCTACGTAATTGAACTTTGCACAGTTCCAAAACATGAGGCGCACATCAGTCACGAGTTCTTCCGGAGATGAATAGTGGGATTTGTCCTTTTTTTGCAGCTTTTTTCGTATGGTTGACAAATCCATTGGCTTTTTTATGATCTGATAATAATGCCGAGCCTGCAATAAGAATAAAATACAAGTAAACAGATGTAACCTTTTTAATTCTGACATTTAATCCCCAGTAACTTCTATCCAAGTTTGGATAGAAGTAACTGGAGAAGATTCCTTGCAGAGCAAGGCATAAAGTTCTAGTCTCTTAGAATCTGCACTTACACATCATCTTCCTGCTTGCCTTCTCAGGTCTGAGTGAAAACAACAACAAAAAAATTGCTTGCAAGATTTATCTTGCAAACAGCAGATTTCGGTGACTGTTCTGCTGTTTGCATTTCCTAATGTTTATCCCATGATATAACTGTTGTCATTTAACCATAATCAATAATACATATAAAGCAGAGAGCTGATATAAAAATAATGTGCAGCATCACTGTCAGTTGACACTGAGGGAAGTAGTGTGTCTAGAGTGACTAAAAATACCATGCTATACTCTCTTTTTAAAGTCCAGCAAAAATTTATTTCAATGGGCACCCATTGCCACTCCTTAAATTTTTCTGCATCAAAACTTGAGGCAGGGTTATTTCTAAAGCAGACCTTTCCTAAAGCGCTGTAACATTCTCCATATACACAGCAGGTCAACAATTTTAACCACCAGAGTGCCTCATTTTACCTTGGTGTCCTACAAGCATCTTGAACTTTCAAACCTGGCCCACAAACATTGGTCAGAATTTACCTGCCTTTGAGCAAGCACCTTTCGCATCCCCTGCAAGAGGAAGGCACCTACCCCTGTGACACAAAACTGCTGAGGAGGAGTGTGAGTGAACATCTTGTGAGGAGACCAAGGAAGAATTTGTGAGCAGCACCACAGTACTGCCTGGCTGCCCTCAGCCCACATGCGTGCAGTACTTACAAGGGGGCTCACAGGCTCGTGGAACGGGAGGCTCAGGCTACTGCAGAACAGGGAAAGCAGCAACTTTTCACACTTCTGTAAAATCCAGATTAGAAATATGTTTTAATTCAAAGCCAGCAAGTTTTGCCCTTGTCCTTAGCTAATCCATACTAACAATAAGGAGTGTCTTATGCAGCCTGTGCATTTCTGATGCAAGATGGCACATCTCACTAACTTGGGGGCACCATATAGCATTTTAGCAGTTTTGAAAATGAGGATAATAAGGAAGGACAATAGAGGAAAGAAGCAAAGGCTTATCTGTATTTTATTTTTCTTTCTGTATGTTTCTTTCCTGAAAACTTATTTTTATGACTAGATGAAACTGTTCAGAATTCACCCCTATCTTTTTTCTGCACTCACTCTTGGCTCTGAACTAAAGGAACAGCAACATCAGCATGGAAACAATTCAGTGGAAAATGTTTCACTCTGTTCATATTCCTTTCATACAAACAGGTACAGGTTATGCAGTTAACAGCACTGTACGAAAATGGTTGTTAATCATTCATCATTAACATTACCTTGCAAAATACTTAAACTTTTTATTTATTTTTTCCTCTGAGGCCAAGAAATGTGCTGCAAAGCAGTTCGAAAGCCACAACTATTAACTGAGCAAGGGAATTAACTCCATTTTCTAATTAACACTTCCTTAATCAATGCTCAGATCACAGCTATTTCTGGCTAGTTGTACCCAATACAAGAGAGACAAGGATTACAAAGAAGTCCAGAAGTTATACTCAACCCTGTATGGACATGGTCTGAGCCCTATACGCACAGATAAATTTGTGTGTTACTGTGGCGAGGCTCCCAGGCCTTGCCATGGGACTGCAGTGCTTTAAGAACTATTGCTGTTGTCTTTACACAGAGAGCCTAGACCAGACTACCATCAAATCACAGATTTAATTAGCACAGGACCAGCTCAGCATCTGCACCCACCTCCCCATCCACCATCACTCACATACACAGGACATGCATTTGGAACTTCCTGCTTCCTGGTACCAAGTGAACTTTAAGGAAAGCTGTTTTTCATGAGACATTTATCAGAGGAAACAAGTAATGGGGGAGCAAACAGTACAAGCTTTCATCTGGGCTGGGTTGACAGCGCCAGAACGTCATCTTAAAGGTTACTAACGGTCCATATGAAGTGGGCTAATGATTCCAATCCAACTGAGAGTCAAAAGCTGTCCACATCACAAAAAAGAAATATCATTCCAACTGCCCTAAGTAGTTGTCTGAGAGGATGCCAAGTCTTAAATGAAAACGTTTAAGAGGCAGAGAGCCAGGCAAAGCTGATGCATGGAAGCTTGCTCTGCTGCTGCTGAGCGGGCTTTCCCTGTTCAGAGGAGAAAAGGGATTCCAAATCTGTCAGTCTCATCTTTCCGTAACATCGAATTTATTGTAAAATTAAACAAGAATTTCTAGGAAGAGGAGAATGATATAACTGACCATTAAATTAATACCTTTCTTGTATTTACTGCCCTCTGAAATGCTCTAGTAGCAACCAAGTCAGACCAGTTATAAGAGGCAAAGCTGTATACTGAGATCATAAGATTCTTTTTTTATAAAGTACAGTATAGAGTTATTCCCACCTTCTGGTCATATTCATCAAGGCCATCTGGTGCTTTATTACTGTGGCTGTAACGAGCATTTTCACAGTCATATTCTACCTCTGGCTTCACTGGATTACGGCAAAGTGTACAAACCCATTCTCCCCTGCAAAACAACAAAGCAAAGAACTTCTGTCAATTTTTGTGAACCACTTTGTTAAACAGTAAACAACTTAGGAAGCACTGTATTTGGAAACAATTCTCATTTTTAATCAATCCTAGAATAGCAGACAGTCTTAAGCTCATTGTACTAGACACTCTCCAAGAGATTCAAATCTAATTATAAATGTAGAATTTCAGTTTCTATTCACTACACTTATTCTGGGATAGAGCAAAATAAAAGTAAAAAATGGAAATTCTTACACACAACAAGTGCAGCTATACACAATGAAATGTTCTCTTCTTAAAAAATGAAAAAAACATCAAGCAGCAAACAGTTGGATCATAAAAGAAAAATGGATCTATTAAGAAATATATCACATAAATCAAGATTATTACAAAAGGATGTGCATGCAATACACCGCCAAACTGATATAACTCAGCAAGGGCAGAAGTACCTTGCTAGCAAGTCCATTTCCAGAAACCTTTTGTCCTCATAAAACTCTTAATGATGCAACTGCTAAAAGATCCTTAACTAGATAAAGGATCATAAAGAAATATGATCCGAAGTAATTCCTGAAAACCTCACCTGTCTTACGGAGTTTGTTTTACAAGGAAAACTTGCTTTTCACAGCCTTTTGGTACTAGAGCTTTAAAAATGACTTAGCTCTTTAAGAAAAGAATGAAAGGACAAAAGATGGCACTTTGTGCCTTTTGAACAGAAAGAACAGGCCACAATCTCTCAACTGGTATCCCACAAGGCATTTTGCTCAGCTGGGACACCTAATTGGGCTTGGCTGAAATGGAGTAGCTTCTGGATGCCACCTGGTAATGATTTATAACAGAGTTCAGAATTATGCAACACCAGTAGCAGACAATAATTACCCAGTCTGAATTTTCAAGTTTAGCATGTGAAATTTTCAAGTTCAGTACGTGTGCCAATTTCTTTATTTTTGCCACATAACCATTTGGCTGTAACGAGTTGCTAGTATCTGTATGTCTTAGGGAAACCTATGCCCTAAACATTAGCACAAATCCCTTCAAAATGCCCTAAAAAGCATGACCTTGCATGTATTTAAGATAATAGGTTATCTAAAGCTTTATGTTATGAGGCTAGAACTGGCCGACTAGAAAAGCTGAATAGTTTTTCAGGGTTCCTGACTGCAGATGTCCTTTTGATAGCGTCTGTTCTTGCAGGGAACAGCTGATCTTTACAATACAGATATCATACGATCACATCAGAGCTTTATTTGCCTCAAGTTGTGAGTATGTTTTTAAAGGTCTGTACATCTAACTGCAGAAAGAGCATACATGACTGGAATTATTATTGCTAATAATTTGAGTTCATAATATGCCAGATAATTCTTCCAGGCTTAAGAAAGCAAGTGAGAGATGCAATCATTATACTTCTAAGATTGAAGCACATATTCCTGAGGATATATTCTAAAGGAGGCAAACAAAACCGAACACATTAGGGAAATGTCACATTTACTCACACTGGAAAGCTGAGCAGGGCTGGAACATGGCATGAGAGATGGAACACCTTGGGGCAGTGATCACAGCACAACAGTTCTCCTCCATTAAGACACACAGCACAGAAATCCTCATTTTCTATTGGAGTGACTTCCTGAGTCACTGGAGGTTTCTTCACGAGGGAGCTGCCGTTGCTGAGCTTCTGATTAACTGACAGAGGATCTGCTGGAGGAGACAGCGTGTGTCCTGCAGTGTGGGCAGCAAGGACTTCTCTATCTTCTGGGTCCTCTTTGGATTTCGGTCCTTCAGAAAGACTGTTTTTATTTATCTTGAAGGGAGAAAAATTTGGAATCGCATCATGATCATCTTCATGACCAAGAATCTAACAGTAGCAGCTACCTGCAGACAAACCGGCAGCGACCTCTGGTAGAGAGGGCACTGAGTTCAACACTCCCGGCCCAGCTCAGCATTGATTATGGCCTGCCCAAGTTAGCCATGTTTTTGTATTCTGACAAACAACCTATCAGCTACCCAATCCCAGCAAATGACTTCTCAGAAATGGAAGTAACAGTGAGTTACACGGCCAACACAAGCTGCATCCTCTCTAAATGTGGATGTTACTCAGCCCATCACAAAAGCGTCCAGGGCAAAAAACAACCAACATTCCTGCTTAGCATATAACAACTGCCAGTAAGGCAGGTGTCTTGGAAGTACAAGATGGTGGGAAAAACAGGGAGAAAGCAAATAAACCTTCAAGCAAATTCCACTCACTTTTATTGCCATACTTGAAGACTGGGACCCACATTCAATTACCAGAAGGAAAGCACCCTCCTGCTCACTCTCCTGCGGCTGCAGCTTAAACACTGGCAGATCCCCCGCTTCTGACACACACATCTTCAGGCGTTCAAGTCGCACATAGGGGATCTTCAGCTCCTTAGTGCCAGCTCTACAGTTAAAATGACACATTGTTAAACCCACTTATATTCTACAAAATCCCCACACATACCCATGCTTAACACTTTTCAGTCCAGCTAGCTTCAAAAAGGAACATGATACATCATTCAGTTTTACTTTAAAATAGTAACAAAACAATATCTTAAAGTAAAATTTATAAAACTATTGAGGTAATTTAAATCCTCTTGTCATTATGTTCCCCTACTCAGTATTTTTAATATCTCATTAGATGCTAAACATTCTCTTGTTGATCAACAAGATAAGTTTGTAAATATTGATATTTTCTGGAAAATCACAACAGAATAACAGAAATGCACTAATTTGCCACTTTTAAAAATTGTTTAAGAGAATCCTTTACAACTTTCAAAATTATTATCTACAAGGAATCTTGCAGTTTTTTTTTAAAACAAGTTTCTTATTAGCATTAAATATGACAAATTTTCTAAATACATGCATAAGTGCCTGTGGCTGGTGCTTCTATATAAAAATGACAGTTACCTGACATTCTGATTGCTTTTCATACCCATTTCAAAATGTTCCTTTTCACAGTTATTGGAATCTGGAACAGAAGATAAGAAAATGAATAAAATATTTATAATACCAGGGTCAGATTAGGGTAGAAAGTATTTCAATATTCATGTGCTTCTGACTGGTGTTTAATATGATATTACAAGTGAATTATAGAATCATTTCATCTGTACACATATATAAAACATGTATGCTATTTTCTATTCTGGGATCCAGTCTTTGGTCTTTCTCTTTTTTATCACAGTTCCTGTCTTGAATCTGAGGAGCTTTTTCAAAACACTTTGTTGCAATGGTTGGAATCCTGTATTTCCAGATACATGGAACTATATAAGTAAATCCTCTTTGCTATACAGCCTGTTACTTGAATTACAGACCTACTGAGGCCTGAGCCTTTCAGCTCTGGAATTCTCCTTAGCATCCTGGTCCATGTTAAGAAGCTTCTAGATAATTCTAATCACTCAAAAATAGGAAAGAAATTCTGTCTCCCCACCATTGCTACTACCACTGAGAGATGAAAGCTAGAATATGATTCCATTATAACCTCCAACAAATATAATGCCATATAAGCACATGAATTCACACCTATACTGTACATAAGCATTTAAGTGACTATAGCTCTGGCTGAGACTAGACACAAGAGTAACAAAGCTGCTCTGGAGAGATGGATGAGGCAGAGATGATTGCCCTGATGGACACCCTCGTTAAGATCTGTTCACCGACAAACTCCACAGAATCTCTTTCCCTTCTTAGGAATTAGCTTACTAATAAGAAAATAAAACAAATACCATGACTTCATGAAGACATGTGAGTGCCATGAAAAACAATGCCTTTTGAAAGAAAACCTAGGTCAGATCAAGGGTCCCTACCCTGTGGTTTGATAGCACTATGTTTCTGAGATAGCCTGGGGATTTTTTTTTTTTTTTTCCCCTCAGCCACAGGAAATAAAATAGAATGGAGACTAACAAGGGAAGGTGTATTTCATGTCATTCCCAATGTCTTATTCATTTGTTTCTGTGGCTCAGGTGGAGGTTGGTAGTCATGGAACTGGATAGAATTACTAAAAGGTGAAGGCACAGTGAGCTGAAGGAGCAGCTCTTGTCTGCTGCCAAACTAGAGGACACTTAGTGGAAGTGATAGTCCTAATCAGTAACTTGGGTCACAAAACAGTGTACTTTTAAAATTTATGGATTTCACCACATCCGAGAGCTTTCCAGTGCTTCAGTGAATATTTCCATTTGAAAACTATCAGAGAAAAAGGTGTCCCAAGCCAGTAAACTCATGTTATACAGCAGCAAGAACAATGCTTGTGAAGATTGACTGCATAAAAATCACCACAGAAAGTAACTGACTATAGATGTTACGCTAAGAAAGAACTGAAGGTTAAAGTGACCATATGTTACACATATGACATACACAACAATATAATGCTGCAGCTGCAAAAAAGACAAATATCAGTCTGCAACGTATCATCAGTAGTGAGGACTGTAAAACAGAGTAAGTCAATACCCTACACTCTGCTCGGTACTCTGGAGGCCTGAGGTACAACATTTTTTGGGCAACACTCCTTAATTGCAAAGAACTCAGAACATGCAGTAGGTATCATAAAAAAAAGCAAAACAGAAACAAATAAACAAAAAAGATCTCTGAAGAAAGACTGAAATAATCAGATTTGTACTCAAGGCAGTAGGGAGGAGACCGACTCAAACCCCAATAAGAAATAAAGAAGCTATAAGACAGAAAATGATGAAACTATGCTGAGTTTTTACCACATCCCCTGGGGTAGAATAAGAAGCATTTTGCTGTAAATTAAGCTGAAATGTTTAGATTAGACATTAGGTGAGAATGAGTCACTGGAGAGATACACCAGCAGCTCAGTATTTAGGAAGCAGAGCACTGCTGAAGCCAGCTAGTCCTACTGAGAGCCATTAGCAAAGCTGCCCTAGCAGCAGTTACCACCTCTCCCTGCGCTCATCACTCGCTGCAGTTGCATCAGCTCCAGCCCCTGCACTGCGCTCGACTCACAGCGAGAGCAGGACTGGAGCCCTTCACTCCTGCAGCATCTTCACAGCACGGGAGCAGCAGAGCATTTGGGGCTCCAGGCTTTCCACTCCCCCGCCGCCCCACAACAGGACTGGGTGCTTTGCATGGAGCAGATCGGTAGCATCTCTTGGGGACTATATGACTCTATGCCAGGTCCTAAAAAAGGACCGTATTTTGTACATAGTGTCACATAGTCCAAAGCCCACACTACAAAGCTGCTCCCTCTGAAGAGTCTTAGCTGACTGAGGCCATTTCTGCACTCTTTTGAGGGGTGCTGCTCATCTTTACTAGGTGGGCAAATGATCATGGTCTAATTGTCACAGTTTGGTTTAGTGTACATAAGAGAAGACAAAGACATTTCCCTGGCTCACTGAGCTGGGCCTTCTTTGCACTAATTAGAATTCTCTGAATATAAATACAGCACAGTGATAGAAATATTAACTCATTTTTTACAGAGAAAAGCAGCCAAATATTGGCATAAGTCACAGAATAACAGCTTGATCCTGCAATCCCTTGCTTGCATGAATAGTCCCATTGACTTTTAGAGATTGCAGGAATGAGGCTTTTTAGTGTAGCACAACGATGCTGGCAATTTGCCCGTGAACAGAGTTAAGTAAGGTCTAATTCTCCATTAAGACTGAAGAAATAGACCTTGGCTGAAGGGAACATTCACAGTAGACAGAGCCAAGGAGAAGCACATACTGTGCAAAATAATAACCTAACAAAAATTTGCTATACTAGTGATTTGAAGGACTTAACAGAAGGCACATTGAATTTTGGATGCAATTTTTTTTTAATTGAATTTGGACTCTTCAAACCATCTCTTCAATAGTAATAACTGCAGGTCTCATTAGCCAGAGTGCTTCTAAGAGAACGAATACTCCAGGTACTTCACACAGACATGTCAGTGTCTGGTTCACAGATGAAGGATGTTACAAATTCAAGGCATATCATTTCCATTTTTTCCTCCACAAATGAGATCAAGCACTCTCTTCCATTTAAGTACTTGATAATATTTGAAGCTTGCTAGAAAAGCAAATTTATGCAAGTACACTAATAAGCACACTGCTTTGCAATGTTTGCAGAGGTACAGTGCTAAGAAATACCCCAAACCTAAATGAAATAGCGAACAGCCTAGTACCTTCTTCATTCCCATGTTGTCTCATTCCAGCATTCAGCGTCAGGAAAGTATTGTTGCTGAACAGTTCAGGAAGAGAAGCACAACACTGAGGTTTTTTAATTGATAGATTGATAGGTTCTTCCAGCACGTTTTGCATAGAAAGAGTGAATTCATTCACATCTGGCCCAGCTGTAGCCAAGTTGTTCTCTAGAGGATGATTCACAGTACTGAAGTCTTCCTCTTCCAGCTGCAGGGAAGAACACATAAGTCTTACTACTAATTTCTGTTATTTCTGTCTTAAGAAAATACTTTCTAATCAGTCCTCATACACCAGTAGAGGAGCAAAACTTTATTTATTGAAATAGACTTTAGCTGACTTTAACCATAATAGGTGCTATCACTGAATGTGGATTTCTCAGGAATAAAGGAGTTTCAGTGATTCTTACCTTACACTTGACACTGCCCTGGAGTGCATCCCCTGGCGCGAGGCTGGCGGCTGCCCCTGGGCTCAGGTCACCTGGAGCTCTGCCCGAGGCCGAGCTGTGCCTGGGCGCCGATGCTGCCGGTGTGTTACACTCACGGGGGGTGTCCTGGGGCGGGCTGAGCTCTGCAGCAGCAGCACCTTGCACCTGCGGATCCACTGACCTAGATAACCTCGTGGAAGGCAATTCCATTTCTAAACCACTTGAAAAGTCCAAAACGTTTAATGATGATGAACGCTAGGGGAGAAAAAAGAAAAAGAAAGAAAAATAGGTAATCAGCCTTTAAGCAGCAAATACTGCTGTTACTTCTAGAATGAATAAGATACTGTGTTCCAGTCATGACTAATGAAGGAGGTTGGTTACAACACCTTGAAAGTATCTACTGTAATCTCATACTATCTACCAAACCTTTACAGCTACAAACTGTGAAAGTTTTTCTTCTGTAAGCTACAAAAACTGTCTTTCCTTGATCACTCCAAAGGATCTTGATTTTTATTTCCTTACAGTGAACGGAAATCTAAGCATTTAGAATATTGTACTATATCTATCCTTAATCCAAACCCTACTAGGGTTTGTTAAGTTATTTCAAAGGAGAAATAAATTTCAGATCTGAACTAAGTGGACAAAATAGTAAATACTTTAAAGATGGTGAATACCTTATGCTACTTGAGGAGTCTTTCCCATTAAAGCTTAAGTCACTTGCCTTTTAAAATACCAGTGTAAATGAAAAAAGAAAAAAAAAACAACCCACATCTCAGGTACTAAATAAAGATAGGATGCATTTGTTTTCAAAGAAAGGGAATAACCTATTTACCAAAGTCTGAAATAATAATTTTAGCAATATGCATTTGCTACTGTCTCATTATTTGTCACTGTCAAAAACACAGAAATACTGTTAGGCAAGACAAATCAAATCCACCCATCTACGTGACTTCCTTAAGCTGCCTTACATGCAGGAATGTATGACAGAACTGAAATCACAACACCTCTAATGCCCATGAGACAAACATAAGCAGCCTTAGGAAGTATGCAGATCTGTGTCATTTGAATGTGTAATTTTCTACTTAGTTTATCATAGTTCATTGGTGTTTCATTACTCTCAATAATTCACTGAATAAATCCTTTTCATTTGACTACTATACAGTAAGTAGTACTCATTATAATATAAAGCAAGACAAAAAGAAATGTGTTGACTTCATCTGGAGTTTAATTTCATTGTTGCACTGATTATTTTTTCTGTTTTGTATTCATAATTGGTTTGTACCTTCTAAGTAAAACAGAAAGGATGTATGTCGTAGATTTAATTGGTATTTTTCTCAGCTATTATTCTATTTTGGATTTTAACAACTTTTTTCCATCTTAATCAGACAGTGGTAAAAAGCAATAGACTAGATTCAGCTGTCAGTTGAGCCTGTGTAAATCCTACACAATGCCAAGGCAGCCAGTTTCAAATTCTTCTGCTTACCATGCGTATCACCTATATGCTAAGAGTACACTCTGCCCACAGACATTAATTTCCATCTGAGGATGTAATTTAATTTCTTTTCCTTTGCATTGTAATAGAACCTAGAACAGGAGCTTTGTCTGAACAGCGATTACTGATCCCAGATCATATTCAATGACAAAATAGCCTGCATCAGAGGCAGAAAGAGGTCAGCACATCTGCAGTGCCAGAGAAGGTTTGCAGCATCTACCATAGGGTGCTGTGTTAAACAGTCCCAGGTGGTCCTTTCCATGTTGAAGGAGTCCCAGTCAGCACTGTGCGCCTGCAGGCAGCTTATGGGCCCTTTTCCTCTCCTTGGGGCTACTTGTCCCTGAATGTAGGCTGTCTGGGCTATGAAAATCTCTTGGAATTAGCTGAAATCAGTCAAATGAGGCTTCTTCCTACCTTGCATTTGGGTTGAAAACAAGAGCAGAGGAAATGAGAAAAAAATGCCTTGATGGACGCAACATTTTCCATATACTCCTTATGACAGCAATTCTAAGACTGCCCAAGTTTCAAATCAAAGGTATATATTCACAGCAAAAAGGAACCCAGCCTTCAAGGTTGTAGCCTAAGACAACTAGAAATATTTACTTGTTGCAAGAATTTCCTTGTGATGTTCCCTGCATATGCAGTGACAAATGTGGCGGACAGAATGCCTTACTGAGGATGCACTTTCATTTTCATTCCATCACTCCTCCTCTCCGCCTCCCTTTTTCAGATTATTAAATAAGTCACGCAAATTGTTCTTATATCACTTAACAGAAAACCAAACAAACAGAAGCAGCACCTCTGCTGGAGTGGATCAGATGGGCTGTAATCAGCCGCACCTTTTCCTCTTATTCCAATGTCCATCGTGAGCATTAAGTCTCTGGAAGGTGGGTACATATTTATTTACTCAGATTCTCAAAAGGGTGAAGCATCTGAGTCAACAGTAACAGCCCAGCACTGTGCAGCACTTGGAAAGGGCCTGTCGAGGCACATGCATGGTAAGTACACCACCCAAGACTGCCTAGCAAATCATGGATTTTATGGTTTATGGCTACTTTCTTCCAATTACTACATGCATTTTCGTTCACTCACATTACAAGGGTGTGTGACCATCTGTTAGGAATTGAGGCCTGACCCTGCAAAGATCCCTCACACACACTGCGAGGGAAATACAAGCCCTGCTAAGGCAGTGCTCAAAGGTCACTACAGGCTTCCATGGGCCAAGTGCACTTACTGTTAGTATCATTGAGACTACTTCTGTTGGAGAAAAGGAAAACATTCAAGAGATCTTGTCATACTTAATATTTTTAGATAGGCAAAATTAAATTACATTATATGGCTATATCTTTTTTATTCTTCTAGCAAGCATTAGTTTCTTAAGAGATCTTTTCAGATTATATACACGAATATAAAATCTTTCTCTTATTAAAAGAGAATAATGAGGCCATCAAACTGCCATCTGTCTTTCCCTTGGGGCAAAAGTTAATTTTGTGGTTATTTTAATGATGAAGCAACATTATGATCTTTCAATGCAAAATATTAAAACTTACAGTTAAGAACAGACACATTCCATTCTGATCCATGAAGCTGCTGTCAAGTGTGAAGTGAACAATGCACTGGGAACAAGGCTCATTAATAGCCTATTAATTCACTCCCTAAAATAATCATTTCTTTTGCCATTAGCAAAAATTCCTCTTCTCCCTTGACAGTTCAGCTAATGTTTGAAAATGGGATGCCTTTAAAAAATTGATCTCTGTTTTATAAAAGCTCTATTGCTCTTACATTGCACCCCTTGAACAACAACAAGCATTAATTATGCTCTTGGGTAGAGGGTGGCTTCAGTTGCTGGTTAATTTTGAAACTTTTGACATTTTAATGTACAGAGTGGCACATCCAACTACATCTGTGTCATTACAAATGGAATTCTCATTGTCTCATAATTAATTTTGGTCTGATGATCTGTATGATATAATGGCAGTATCATTATCACCCCAAAAATGCCTTCTACTACAAATTTCATAGCTATTGTAGTGAAAGGTAAGAATAAAGAACATGCAAAGTGCTTTCAAAGAACAAAAAAAATAAACATACTGTTCAGCTCAAGTATTTCTTTCATCACTGTTGCATTTAAAAAGGTCCAGTGCAAACATGCAGCACTAACACAGAATAATTCTGAGAAACAAATACTTACCTTGAAACACTGGGATTAGGATTTGTTAGGATTGTTTTGGCCAAGTCTCAGGGCTGTTGACACTAACTGTCACAGAAAAAGAAAGCTAAAACTAAGAAGCGCCAATTCTCTTTGCTATAAGAGAAATAACACGTCGCAAATGGTTGCGGAGTAATGAACGGCTGCTACTAAGTAGAGCAATCCCCCTGGCAGCTCATTATGCTGGGAGGTTAAACAAATGTACTACTCCAATCCAGTTGTTTAACTCACCACACACAGCAGCACAGAAAGCATTTGTAGACTCTGTTATTTCCCAGTTTCAGAATAGAATCCAAAGGATTTCCTTGTCATTTTCGTAAGAAAAAAATCCAAATCTTCCTTAACGTTTGCCTGAATAAACTGGAGCTGGCTTAAAGCGGAAGAAGGAAGATACTGTTTGGAGCAAGCTGCATCATGTTTTATTTATCCTCTTTTCCAGGTCAAAGCAAAAGGTTTTCTTAAATCAACATTCTGGGAAATGTACCTAATTGCATTAAGCATGGACACATTTGTGCTGTAAGCTGCTCAATTCTCTGAAGTCAAAAATTACTCTAATACATTAGGAATTTGCAGGATCCTAAATTGCAGGCTATTATAATCATTTCCTCCACTGTTAATCCTGCTAAAATTAATAAAAATCAGACACAACAACCCTACCTCCTGATAAAGATTTTATGTCCTAGGTCAGGTAGTAAATTACTGCTTTTAGCCACTAAAAAACGAACACACACTCAGTAACAGAAATGGGAACCTACCCCCTGCTTCTAGACCTCCTCCTTCCACAAATTCTTTACTGTTTTTGAAAGAAAAAATAATACCGCTATGTAAACACTTGCTAAGATGGAAGAGTTGTCATTATTAAAGTTTAGAATAAATGTGAAGTCCTACGGCAAAATACCCAACAGTGCCAGCAGACTGAAATCTCCTGTTCTCTCATAATCGAGAACTGAAGGTGGCCTTTTGGACATTAGAAGTAGAGAAGTTCTTCCTCATTATGACTCAGGAGAAGTAAAGAGGTTCCACTGTGAACTATCAAAGTGTTAGTATCACATGAAGTGCCACTACTGTATACGATTGGAATAAAGCAGAAGCATCTCTCAATGCACTGACCATTCTCTGGTTGGCAGAGAATATTTTCTAGGATTTCCTTGTTCCAGATACTCTACAGTGTTCGAGAGATCAAACAAACAAAAATAAACCCAGAAATATTCCTTAAAGCACTATAGATATTTTCAGTGCACTAGAGCCTTACTTAATAGTTTTAGTCTAGTCAACTGTTCTCAAAAAGGACGCATTAAGATTACAATAAGGTCATGATTATAAAGAATCAAAAGCACAGAATGGCTTCCATCCAGAAAAAAAGGCAATCACTTTACAGTCTTAAGAAGAAATTTTTGAGAGGAAATTCAATATAAACCTATCAAATCATGGATATTATGGAGATGATGGATAAGGAGTGATTATTCACTGTTTCTCCTAACACAAGAAAAAGAAAATATCCTATTGAATTACCAGGCAATAGATTTAAAATAAGCAACCAAAAGCATTCAAAATTCTTAATAATATTCAGTATTCAATACTACTAATAGTATTAAAATGGATTCAGAAGAGGGATTAGAGAAAATCACAGCTGAGGGATCTACTACGAAAACACAGCAGTCCAAGTTGTGGTTTTGTGTTGCAAAACACAATAGTCTGAGTTGCACCTCCAACTCAGGAAGTCAGTAAAGTGCTGACATTCACTAAGGTAAACACAGCCCAATCCTAACTTTCCACAGCTTTCCTCAGTCCTGTGCTGCATCATTAGAGGTCCAGGAAGATCTACTTCCACGCACTAAAGTTCAGATCCAAAAAGCATCAAATTTCACCATGTTGTGATCCCATCAGCCTGGTCCAGAAATGTCACCACAACTATGATTTTAAGTTAACAATGGCAGATTTCACTGTGGTTTCCCAAATTGTTTCACATGTTTCTTCCCTTCCCCCTCAGTAATTACCTTCCCATGTCTCTAATTCCCCAAAGTATCTTCAGTAACTCTGAATTAGTGTTGCGTCATAAATATGTTGGGTGCACAAGCTAGGTATGAATGCACTGCATCTTCAGTAACAGTGTTATTTCAAATGCAGCTACTTTGGAGGATGCTTATCATGCTGGATATCATCAAAATACCCAATGCATTCTCTTTAAAATACATCTGTTACTAATATGGGAATAGTATGTGCTGACAGTCAAATCCCTGGGAACAGAGACTAAATTTACTCACTGAAGAGATGTATTTATTTAGCAGTAACACACCTAATCACATCAGCGAGACCTAGGCTCTACTGGTTTAGAGAACAGTTGTCAATCCTGGCTACAGCACTGTGTATAGACATATTACTAGAGGGCTGTAAACTAGCTTAGGCTATGACGATCTTTTAAGACCTACAAGCCACCTGCTTTTGTATTTGTAATTTCTCAATTTGAATGTAAATTCCAATGTTATATTACATAAATATTATGAAACCATGTTTTCTTTTTAAAATGCCTATTTTTAAAAGTTATTTATACCTTTCTCACTGGATGGAAAGCAGGTTGTTGCAATGTGCTCTCAGAGGAGTGACTGCTGACACTGGATCCTTCATCCAATGACTGTGACAGGGAGGGATTATCACTTCTGTCAAAGGAAATTAACGGCTTCTGGGCATCTAGTTCAGTAGAACTCTCACATATCTACAAATAAAGATAAGAAAAAAAAGTGGTTTTAAAAATCTCAGAAAGTAAAATGGTAGTAAAATCAAATCAACTCACAGCATACATAACACAACAACAATGTAAAGACTTTGAAGCAACAGTCTTACTAGAGTACTCTAGCTAGAGAGGAGAAACTGCCTAAACTGCATGACACCTCTTTCTTCCCTTAACATCTCCAAATGTTCCTGTTTACTCATAGCACCTAATAAATGAAATGAAGAACAGTTCTGTCGCTAGAACACTGGACTAGGAATCAAAAGATGTGGCTTATTTCTTTTTAAAATAAAATCAAATTTATTTTATTTGTCTGTCCTTTAATTACCTATCCACAAAGAGGAGTGATAATGTTTTTATTCTCCCACTCTCATTTTGTCTTGTCTATTTAGACAGTTAGATCTTTGGAATATATATTGCTTATCTGGCACTTTACAGAAAATAGTGGCCTTATCTTCATCAGGTCTGAAGCCTCTGCTGAAATACAAACATAGACGAGAAGAGAGTAAGCCTAACCAAATATATATAAGTCAAAAAGGTGTCTCCCCTTTTGGGGATTACACTGAGCAAATGCAATGCAAAGTGACTACTTAAGAACTTACCTGTGCTTCATCTTGGATTTGCTGCTGAGTTGGGGCTGGCTGTCTCACTATATAGTTTATCTGACCAACTATGGTCTGTTGAACATGTTGAGGTGGTTTGGCTTGGTTCAGCTGCAAGCTAGACTGTCCTTGAGCTTGGAGAAGACGCTCCAGATCCTTTTTCATCTCTTCCAGTTCAAACTGGTGGTGCATTATGTCCAGACTCTGTTGGATGACCTGTTTGTGGGTGCTCTCATTCTGACCTGGGGATGGTGATGCCGGTGACTGCTGCAGATGGTTGGGCTTTATCTTCTGGTGATGGCTAAGTTGCACTTGTACAGTCGGAGTCTGCAAATGAGCTTGTGTGCACAATGGCTGTTGGTGGCTTGTGTGAACTTGCTGAGCCTCGTGCAGTGCAACAGCGTAACGGGGAGGAGCAGCCTGCTGCAGCTGCTGGGCTGCGGAATGCTTTCCGATTCTTCCAGACACGCTCTCTGCCTCTGACGGAGGCTCCTGCTCCAGCCCGGACTGTGCTAGTTTCAGAGGCTGTGGAGTGCACCTCTGCTCTTTGTCATGTTGCTGCGTACTGTACTGCAGAGGAAAATGCTGCTTATGAGGTTCGGGAGGCTGTCGAAAATTCTGCTGATGGTTCATGTTTTGTTGAGCAGGCTGAGCCTTGTTAGGCAGGGGCGCATTGAGGCAGTGCGAGCAACATACAGGCGTGGGACACTGAGCGGGAGGTGGCAGCTGGTGGGGCTGGCTATTGGCAGGCTCTAGCTGTGATGCTGGTGAATGATGCCCATGATACAAGGGTGTCTGCAGCCCTTGTGCATTTCCACAGAGCAGCACATCTGGATGAGAAACGTGTCCACCATCCATAGTGAAACCTCCTGTAAAAAACTCTATAGATGAGTATTCTATTCACACAGCCCATCAAGATGTCTTTTTTCAAATCATTTTTTTGTGTTTTGAAGTCACACCAAATTCCTGCTGATGTCAGCGGAATCACAATTAAAATACCAGCAAATGTTTTGATAAAGTACTCTCAGCTTACATTAACTGATGGAGATGGCTCATGCTTCCATTTTCCACTACAGCATTAGCAAATCTTATCATCCATAAGCAAAAGTACAAAAGATTGTTTTCAGAGTAAAAGGGAGGAAAATAAAACAGTTACTAAAAACTGAATCATAGTCACAGAAGCTAGAAATAGGAATGACCAATGAAAAGATCTTGTCCATGCTCCTTACCAAGACAGTATTCTTTTCTGTAATATTTTATTTAGTTTTTATATAACTTAAAATGGGAAGAGAACCAACATTTTAGACCACTGATCTGAACTTAGAATTAAAACCCAGTACAGTTGGAAAATATATAATTTGTGAGAAACAAACCAAACATATGCACATATGTTATATAAATAAGAGAGTCAATATTATATGGCTAGCAGTTTAAAGCCATCTTTGTGCCCTTAATTTTAAGTGTCTCAAGCATTGCTGAGATCCCTTGGCTGTTGAGATACTAGAGGATGTGTGGAGAGAGGACATGGCAGAGCCTAGTGCCCCCCTGAGAAAGGCAGAGGAAATAGCACAAGGCTCACTTCTTAGGACAAGTTCTTATACAACATCTCTCGTTTACGTATGAATACATTACGGCAGGGAAGTAGTGCTTACAAATTATATGTTTTGCACCACCTAATCCTTGGACAGTAAGTCCACTAAACTAGTAGTTGCGCCATGTTCTAAATATTCATATGGTACATTTACAGGCAGTGTTTATAGAATGGTATTTATATATCATGATGTCTTGATAGTCAAGTTGATATAACTAAGAAAACAAAAATTTTCTGTCACAGCAGCTTTTCTGCAGGTCTGTAAGAAGAGGAACTAAGCTATCAGTCAAAAGGAAAAAGGAGAGCACTTTAGGGAAGGTACTGTACTTTCTACATCTGTCTCAATTAATTTTGGATACCTGCCTAATAAACAAAGAGTCTACTTTTCTTACCTAAACTGGACAGCTGCTTAGTCCAGTAGGAGGGATCCCAAGCAAATCTGATCTTCAGGGGAGGGCCAACATCTGCATTACAGTTTGTCTCTAACAAGCGCTGTATCTGAAATACAATCTGGTGACAAATGAAAAGATTATGATCTTATACATGATTATAAGTGACCATAAAGCAGTTTCACTGCACAATTTCACCTTGCTGAGAGAACAAGTACTGCTCTTACCAGCTCTTTACTGAAGAGAAAGGGGATGCTGTTTTTACTGCACACTGCCCAGCTGATGAAGTTCTGCACGTGTTCAACCTGTCTGCTTAAAATCACAACACCTTGCAGCTGTTGTTCCAATTTGTGCTTCCTTTCACTGGTGATTCTCTATTAATAACATTAAACATTAGGCCATCATTCAGACAGAGATAAGGTGTATGATCAATATCATTGTTACGTAGAAACTCTATCAATCGTAAGGAGAAAGCAAACACTATTCAAGTGATATCTGAACTGAAAAAAAAAAAGTGAACATGAAAATAAGAAGCTAGCTAGCTTTTGGAAGTATTCAAAAATGTGCACACATATTCGCTGTAAATGCATTAGAAAATGATTAACCCATGATATCCATTCATTTTATCCCTTTAGCATACATCCTTGTCAGGCACTGATCCGACCTACAAGCGCAGAAAAAGATGTGTTTGAAAACCTAAGCAAAGGGACACCAACATCCACAATCCATATACTTTCCATTTGCATTGGGTTTAGTTTCATTTAGTTTAATTTCCCAAGATAGCAAAGAAAATACTGTTACTTACTTCTAGTTGTTCAAGAAGGATATTAGTTCTTTTATTGATTTCATTCATCAAAACCATCTTGGCCATTTTGATTTGATTCTCAACTTTTTTGTACAAGTGTTTTACTTCAAGCAGCCTATGGGGAAGATGAACCAACTGAAAAGGTTACTCAGTGCTTGATAGTTACTGTTACAAAAATTGATCAATGTATTGGCAAGGAAGTTCAATGAAAGTTGTATCATTTCCTCTAAAGTTTTCTACACTTCTCTTCAAAAATGTTGACACTAAGAAACATCATGCTGTAAATAGTCTTAGTGTTTTTTTCAACAGGCACATGCAAAATGCCATATCCCAAACACTTGTGTAACTCAGCTAGCCAGTTAACAACAAAGAGGTGAAATAAAAATTTCTACTCATTTCATTTTATGCCAAAATATAAATAGATTTATGCTATTTTTAAGCACTTGAAAGAGCATCTCTTCCACATTAATAAAACTGACAGCTGAGACATAATCAGTAGTTAGAATCTAGTTCATATGATAAAATATTTCAATTTTTATACCAGCCTTGACTAAAATTCTAGCTTTAACACCAGTCTTGACTAAAACTCTAGCTTGTTTTGACAAAAAGCTATTTTAAAGGTGTATTTATTTCTCATCATTTCAAATTTTACTTTAGAAACATTAAACTCCGAAGTTTGCTGTCACATCCCTCATATGGACTATCAATTGCTACAGTACAATATCATAACATGTGAGCACCATTTAAAGATAAATTTGGTATTTTTCACCTTCCTATTACTTCCTACTCACCAAGAAAAAACACAACATCTGCAACTAATGGTGGTAACCTACATTTAGTGAAAATAATGTATTATATTATATATTGTATAATGTATTAATCATCACCCATGCCCATGAAATTAATGTATAACAATTACCTGTCTTCAATCTGTTTAGTTGAAGCCTGAATCCCATTTCTTTTCTCCTCCACTTTAGCTATGACATTCTCCAGGATAACTCTTTGATTTTGCAGAGCTTCATCAAGGTGCCTGAACCTGAGAAAGGAAGGGAAATTCTCATACCATGTTCTGTTTGGTTGATAAATGACTATTAAGTCAAAGAACATCTGTGTTCTTCTTTGATATGCCCAAATAAAGCATTCTTTGCATTTCCTGATGTTACAAGTTAGAGTGGAATTCCTGAACATAGCACAGCTGCTGCAACAATGAGCCTCTAAGCAAAACTGCCCACTGCTAGATTTTGCCTGCTGCTTCATGTTTCCCTTGGGCAATATGCAGTCAGAGAGATCTGCTAAAGACTCATCAGGATGCACAGATCAGAGGGTCCATAGATCTATTTAAGCAAAAGGCTGTTCCAGGCATCTGGCAAGTTGCCAGAAAAACTAGACTGAATTTTTAGGACTTCTGTTTAAAAATATCCTTTGCCAGCCTGAACAAATACATAATTTGCCTCATTGAAGGTTAGTAAAGTCAAAGGATCTCTGTATGTATTGAATTCTCAGATAGGACTATCCTTTATTTATTCATCTTTTTTTTTTTTTTTTTTTTTTGTCTGTTACCCACAAGTTTACCTGTAGTGCATGTACCATAGGAGCTGGCTCCTGGAACTTTAGCAATTCATTTCAGATGCCACATTTCTTTTGCCTTCTTTCTAATGCAACTCCTATAGATCGAGGATTTGAGTCTCTATATTGGAAAGCAGAAACTCTATGTCTAAAGCAGAAGCAGCACTTCAAGCTAGGTATTCTCCAATTCAGGAGAACAGCTATCTTATATTCTACCTGCTAGCACCAGCTTCTTTCCTACTACAACTGTGCTCTGTGACTCTTATCCCAAACTTAACCACCCCTCACAGAAATAAACTCATGTTACAACAAATCACCCTGTCACTGAGTACACACAATTTCTTAAATGGATCATATTCTTCTGCAAGCAAACACCAAGCTTCAGTATTGGCAATTCTCACCTTGTATAGTCTTGGTGTCTTTGATTAAGACAAATACTAGGATTGGAACAGTGCATGATCCTGTGAGGACCCATATGCCATACAGCTTGGGCATAAAAATAACTGAACTCAATTTGCTGTGGCCTGAAAGTTTGGACTAGCCTCAAGCTTTAAAAGCTTCAGCTGATAGAAAATGCAGATGAACATTCTTAAGACTAAATAATGTATATTTTATACAGTATTATGAAACAGACACCGAGCAACCAGAGTTTGATACCTGTGCTCCTTATGCTCTGTCATAAGGCAGCTGCGACACGTAAGGGTATCACAGGTCTCACAGAACAGCTTGAGCAGCTCTTGAGTATGCATTGGACAAAATAAGGAAAGCTCACTTGCTTCTTCGTTGGTTGCTGAAGAACACAAAGCAATGGCATCACTGTTTTTTTTTTTTTTGTTAGCCCATGCTAATCATTTTTTTTCTATCTACATACACCAATTAACTCCACTGCAAAATTTTCACCAATTAACCTGCAAGCACATACTTTTGCATTAAAAACTGCAGCAGACAATGCAAAATAACATATAGGGAGGCAGTCGTACGTCAAAGATCACCTCTTCTTCCCCTATCAAATCAGGTATGAAACCTTGAAAGAAAAACAGAATAAAACCTCCAAAACATTTTTATCTTTTTTGAGTCAGAAAAGTCCCTCTTTGTCTTCTTGTGCCCATTTCCAAGCCCCAGAAAAGCATGTGTTTCCAAAACTAAGGATTGAATTAGCCATGAAATGCGTATTGGGAGAAATATTTAAACACCTCCTAAAGGACATGTGCGCTGAGAGAACTAAATATAATGTGGCCTATTATGAGTCTTATGTATTCACTTTCTGTTTTTTTCTCCATTAAGTGTTCTTTAGTCTTTGGGTGACTGTAATCATCCCAAGGAAATCAGTATTTTTTCTATGACAGATTTAAGAGATAAGCACATTTCAAATGCAAACCGAGAAGGATAAAAATCAATGTTATCTAATTAGAAAACACACAAAATCTCTGCATTTGGTACAATAACTACTGCCCTGGTACAATGACATACCAGGGTGAACTGCTACTAAACCACATAGGCAGGTAGGTAGATATTTGAGATCTAATATATACTCAGCTCACAGCTAGGTATTTCAGTTTTAAAATTAGTTTAATTCATATGAATCAGCAGTTAACCAAACACAGGAGCCAGCTTTTTCTAAGAGGAGATATCTTGACCACGACTATCTATGAAGATCACATGAAGAGAAGTTTCAGTAGCTCAAATTCTGAATAAACATCATCTGAGTCACCATTTCCTGCACTCTGCATTTTTCCTACCTCAGGTGGATCTCTAAAATAATAAATAGGAAGCCTTGAATCTCCATTATTCTAACCAGTAAATGACAACTGAGAAAGAGTAATCTCATCTGGCTTATAGTCCTCCCTTAGCTTACAGAATTTTCAATCACTTGCACTTCAATTTCATAGGTTCATACTCAACCTTGAGAGACCACAAGTGAATAGTATTTAGAGTGAAGAGAAACTAATTCAGTGGGTGAACTAGCTTATAAGTAGTTGGTATATAAATACCAGCTCAAAAACATAGTTCTTATGTCATCAACTGAAATATAAAAATATATTGTCCATCCAATTAGGACATTTCAGAGCAGGGGTAGGGTTTCCACTTATATTTTCTCCAGAAAAGGCCTAGAAAAAAAAAAAAAAGGAAAGAAAAAAAAATCATCTGTGCTTTCCCTATTATTCTTACAGACTATTTTTCTTGTTTTCACTCTATTTGGCAACTGGTTCTCATATCAGGTGAAGTGCCTCAAACTGTGTCTCATAGGAAGACTCAGTCCAAGATGTTCCATTTTCAACTGAAAAACACATCAAAAGTATAAAATACAAAATGTATAAACATAAAATGCATCTTCAGTACCTGAACAGCCCTTCATGGATGCAGATAAGAAGGGGTCTCCAGTTTCCTTGCTATGTCTGTGTTCTTCTGTGCACGAACTGCACAGCCACTTATTGCAGCTTGTACAGAGACTGTGTGCAGGTCTCTTCTCTTTACACGTTGAGCAGCTCTGAGAACAAAAAGTGCAATTGAACACAAGAATAATGAAGTAGCTTGCAGATACTACTGCCTTACACTGTGGTCAGATGGCAAAGTTGAGATTTTTTTCTTCTTCAAACCAGTAAAATCCAAGTGATTAAGAATACTGCTATTGTTATTACAGAGATCAGCATAAAATAAAGATTTGGAGCTTTTTAATTAAATTGCATGTCTTTCTATGGTTTAGTACAATTACGCATAATTACGACATGATACAGGAACTACTAAGTAAAATTCTAGGTTTTGCGCTACACAAAAGATGAGAATAAATAATCACAATAACTTTTTTTTTTTTTGAACTGAAAATGGGTGAATTTTGTCTGGTTTCACTATAAGGAAGGCTGGTGAAAGTTATTTCTGAAAGTGAGTGTTGTACTTTTTTGTCCCTTGTTAATTCTGTTGCAATGATTACTGATGGCTTTAACACATCAAATTAGTGTATCCATTTCTTAAATAAAAATATTATCTACCTCAAAAAATGCCTAGGTTTCAAAATAAATACAAGAAACAATAAAGATGAGTCAAAGATTGATTAAAAACTTTTTGATGGTTAACTAACAATTCCTCCCAAATGACAATATTATCAAGTATTATATCTTACCCTGCAAGGTGTGTGTGTGTGTCCAAATAACCCACAGAATTTACAGTCCTCATCTACTTTCATGTGTATGAATTTAATCTGGAGCAAATTCAGTAGAGCTACCCTAGATCTGCTTACTTACTAGATTTACTCTAGAATTGCTCTAGTTGCTTGGAGTTTAGTATACTGGCTGTAGAATCATATGAAGAATTCCGTCATACAGTGTAAGTATCAGAAAAACACAACAAAACATGCCAAATGGCATGGGAATTTTGAAAGCAATCCTGAGACACCCACTTAAACTTAACTCCAGTTCCCTTAAAAAGAGATGAACAAAGACGAGCTCAATTTTATAGATTGATAACAAATGTGATGATAGATAGATATGGGAATACAGGAAGGACTGGAACATTCAATTAGTATCGTGTCTACTAATTCAATTGTTCAGGGAATGCCTTCTTTATTATATAGGTTATATTGTTTAGTACAGGCACTAAAGGTGAAATCAATGAAGCAACACTTAAATGAGGTAACTTGATTGCTTTGATATCCAGGATAGACTCAAGAGCTATTTCAAAATTGCTAATGATGATACTTTGCTTATAAAAAGGATATGCATGAGGCATGAAATATCTTGTCTGAGAACTCCCATTACCAATATTTATTGACTTACCATAGCACCATACAATTTCCCAGAGTAATCACTTTGATACAATTTTACCATCAAAACACTAAAAGTTTTGTCACCAGCACATACTGCACTCAACCATTACATATGTGTAAAAACTTCTCCTGTACTATGCATAGTCCTTGGTTACTGCTAATACCATCACTACTACTCAGGCAGCTAATACAAGATGACAAATGACTTCCTAAGGTGACCTCTCTGCTGGGCATCGGTCCCAATTCAGTTTTGGCTCTTCAGCTTTGTGGATGATGTGGTGATTCTCTTTTGACTGTCGTTGACCATTGCTTTAAGTTGTGAGGTTTTCTTGGGGGAAGGGGGCACAGAGAGACAGAAAGCAAGATTTACTGCTTTCAGTAATAAATAGGCTTTTTTAAAAAGCAAGCCATAAGCTATCAGGAAGGTTCCCCAGTCCCTCTAGGGTACTGCTGTGCTCCAGGGAGAATTCTGCTTTTACTGAATAGCTCTTAAGACTCCTAAGGGATTACAGAGAAGAAAAAAAATTCTTCTAAAAGAAGATTTGAAAAATAATCTAGTGCTTCTGAAAATATTAAATATTCTCATTTGATTTCTACAGCAACTCTCATTGAAAGGTAAATGAAGTGAGTCGCAGTAATTAAGAAATCCCAGTATAAGTGCATTCTAAACACAGCGGCACTGTCTTAAGATTTTTGTTCTTCTCTGAAGAGTGCACGTGAAGAGGCCTCTTTCTGATTTACACTAAGCTATATTGCACTACAAGCACCTTACACATGAAGCCTTCAACACCTTTTGCTCACATTTGTTACCAAAATGTCCCTATGCACTCCCTGGATTAGGTTATGTAGTCCTTCCTTTTTAAAGATAGAGAAAATACCCTGTGACAGGAAACTCTCTGCTGTGACAGGGAAGCAGCACATATCTCCTCTGCTTTTTTGCAAATAGATCACTGGGTTAGTCACTTAATCATAAATTAAAGCAGTCTCAGGCCTTCTCTGTGGGACAAAACTGACCTCCAAAGTGCTTTTACTCCTACAGCAATGCAGGCAAGTGGAAAGATCCATTTTCTGTCCTGCTTTCTGGGAAAAGTGTCCCTTTGTGCCCAAAGTCCCTGCATATTCGGTAGGGCTATTTGGCTTCCTTAGGAATCATAAATCCATCCTTTGGACTAAACAGCCAGCAAATTACAGGTTATTTTTAATCTGTTAGCAGCTGTTTAAACTCCATTATCAGCTATGCTATCATATTCTAAAATCTCCTGCTCATACAGATAATAGAATATAGTGCATAGATGGAACAGATGTACACACCTTCCTTTTTCTCCTGGGATTTGGAAAAATTAGCAATATTGTGAGAGCAGACATGTCCATTAATTAGATACTTCAAACAAGTGAAATCTGTCTTTCTCTCTATTTACAATCAATACAGGGCCAAGGTGGTAACCTTAGGCCTTACGATTCTCCTTTACTCCACCACGCAAAACTGAAATGTGATATGATCACTTTATCATTAAAATAGGTCACCAGAAAACAATAACATCCCACTCAATCAAACATATAACCTTGATGTAAACATCTGACCAATAGTCCTTGTTTATGCTTACTTCATGGTAAGAGTAGAAAGGAGATACTGATGAATCTGAGAGATTCAGCATCTTTATAGTCTATTTTTGGCCACACAGATCCACTTCACCATCACTAGTACTGATATTTAAAATGCTTTAGAGCACATGGAGTCAAACACTTTCTTCAGGCAAAGATAAGTACTATCAAGGCAGCATGACCATCTCTAGGGAAGGATGCAAAGAAAATGCAAAGAAAAATGTAAGAAATTCATGCTGTTCACTATGAAGTTTCTTCTAATAAACAGTGTCCATCCAGCAGTGTTTTAACATCTCACAAAACACCTAGCTTACTGGTTTTCACTTACCTTTGCCATAGCTGAATATCTAGTAGGAAAGTCCTTGAGGAAAATATTTTCAGTTACATCTCTTGCAAAGCAGGTCTCCTTGCACAGGGGACAGGAAAGGATACCTGAATTAAAACAAAATAATAAAAAAATAAGTACAAGAAAGAGCACAGGCCAGTCACATGAATCAGGAAATTATAAGCTACACTTTAGTTTTTGCTGTTTATTGCTGTTTTTTTATACATCACACCAACATGCTTAGCTCCAGGAACTAAAGAGTTCCTGGAGCCAGAAAGCCAGAGAAGTCAGAAAAACCACCAACATAAAAGCAATAAAATTCCTAGAAACACACTACGATGCTGGGTTTTATTCCTGTCTAAATTCCTATGAATTCATCAGGTAACAAAACTGAACTGCATTTTATGTTAAATTTTCTTATTACAGCTCTTCTAGTATTTCTGCATACTAGTTATTGCTCTTCTAGGCGAACTTTACCAAAGGTACCCCTAGGAACAATATACATCGCCTGATATTAATTTTACAGTGAAGCATGCTGTGCTTCACTATGAAGCTGAAAAGGAGTATGAGGTTGCCAGCAGAGGCAAAAGTCACAACAAGCCGAGATCCCCCACTTACTTAACTGTGTATTTCATTTAACAGTGAGTGTTCACATAGCCACGAGAAAGAGCAGGCCACTATCCACAAGTGGCTGAGTTACTCAGCTACAAGCAGTCCCAGGAGAAAGGGATTGCAAGCGACTGCAATGCTTTGCTCATCCTCTGCATATGTAACTTAAGACTTGTTGAAGCTTGGCTCTGGCAATGGGAGTTACGCAGAGGCTTCATTTGATAAAGATGCTATAAGGGCAGAAAGCTGTAGAAATCTTCTAAGTTCATCCTCTCCTTTACATTCTTAGCACTATGAGTGCAGCTGGAAAACCCATAGTATTTATAGCTTATCAACTTCATATGAGAACATCTTTATATTGGTCACACAAACCTCTCTGCGCTATCCCAAACTACAGTTCTGTGTGTCACGTAGATAAATAGTTAACAGCTCATTTCTCTAGAGAAATACAACAGAATTGCTATAGCACTGTAGTAGCTGAAGTAAAATGTTATATAGACATTGCCTTCCTAATTCTTTTAAATGCCGCATACTACAAGCACCAATGAACTGTAGTACAAATCCTAGGATGAGAAAGTTTTCAGGTCTCCATGTGAGCACCTTACAAAGCATCAGAGTTATAACAATAGCAGCAGGAGTAAAGAAATCAATGCCTTTTGACTGATCAGCTAACAAGCACTTTAGATAGGTTCATTGGGTCCTGCTCTATCTCTTGCTGCAGTTGCCAGGAATCCATCCACCAACTTCACAGGAAATTATCCCAAGTCCTTCAAGATCTTCAGCCAGTTTCTTACTCCTGTAACAGTATCACTAGTTCTAGATCATCTAGATCTAGAAGAAAACCACCCAACTGAGGTCACATAGGATGTCTCAAATTGACCAGAGAATAAATAAGCAACAGGAAGGGCAAGCTGCATATCCCAACAGCTAATTCTTTGCCTATACATTGTACTGGTGAGCATACAGTTTTACAAAAAAGATTTCAAGGAAGTACTGCCTACTGAGAAACAAAAGCAGTAATCAGTACTTTGCATGGACAATTTCTGCACATCTATTGCATAAAGAAGGTAAAATTGAAATCACACATTTTATTACATTCCAACACTACAAAATTAATGCAAAATGTTAAATCATATTATTGAATTTTTGAATATTGAATTGAATGTTATCTAATGGAGTACTGAGGGCCTCAGAGGGGTTCACGTGAACTTTGAATTGTACTAATCTGTTACAAACCAGCAGAACAAAATATATTGTATAAAAAATCATTTATGATAACAGGAAGTCTTTTTAATACTAGAAAAGAAGACCGCGAAACTCTAGAAAACCATATTTCATGCAGAGTTCCATCAATGCATCTCTTTGGATACATTGAGAAACAGAACAATATTAAGAAGTTGAGAACAAGGACTATTTAGAAATGGATGATATTGCTGATTAATATCAGCAGCAATTAAAGACAACTCCCTAGATGCCATGGGGCACGTATTTCCCAGTTTTCAGATCCCAGTCATACTATTGAAATCTATATTGTTCCAAAAGTATACACAGAGTAATTTGCACGCACAAGGCAGAATACTGTTTTAAACTCATTACCACAACCAAATGAGATATAATTTTGATTGGTATATGTCATAATGTGCACAAATTACAATCATTGCAAAGCGAAAATGCCCTCGAGACAAGCAAGACGTGTCTAGCTCTCAGCTAAAAACAAACAAAACACATACGCAAAAAGCACAAAACAAAAATGATAGGAATACCATGTCCATCTGCACCAAAGGTAGTTTCCTACTCATGCAATGATTAAATCAGTAAGCACTTTCTCACTTGTCCTAATACTGTTTTTTAATTCATTAGATACAAGACATATTTGAATTTTGCTGAAAGAGGGTTCTCTCTGAAAATGGTAGATTTGGAGGTCATATTTGATCAGCTATTTAGGATTCTCATTTGTTTCCTTTTCCTTTAAATAAAAACCTGTGCTCCCTGGAAATGCTTAACTTCTTTTCAATATAAATTCCCCACAGAATCTAATGATATTTGGGCATAACAAATACACTACAGAACAGCTTATGAAGTAATTATACTGAAATTAAGCAAACCTTAAATCTTGTAAATGCATTTTTACAAATAGCCACAAGCAGCAGCTATTTCAGCAACATAAAGCATGCACACCGTGCTGCGCCCGTGCTTAGAGCACAAACGGCCACTGAAGGACAATTTCCTAGAAAGCCCTTACCTCTGCATAAGGGGGCACTGAGAGCGCTTGTGCCGGCAGCGGGCGGTTCTGGAGCAGAGGCACGCTCGCAGCGGGCTCCCTGGGACCGGGCTTTGCCGTGCTGCAGATGAAAGCAGCTTCCACACGGTATCAGGGACTGCTCTCCATCTCCAGCAAGAAATGCTGACAAATCAGCAGGCCAGAAAGGTGTAGCAGGCCACTGCAAGATGCATATTTTTCTCTTGCTTTCCTTCTTGCCCTTGCCTCCCAAGATTCATTTAGGCCTCTCTTAAGTTGTCCTGGTTGAATTATTCCTGAAGTGATGAAATAAAAATTCCACAGTGAGAATAACAGCACCCTACTTTCTTCCGCTTGTGTCTTCTCTCACTCCTCAGAGTAACCTGGAACAAGTATGCAGAAGACAAGCACAGAGCTTTTGTGGATTCAGGAAGCAGGTCTTACAGAGACATTTACTCCCACCACGTGCCTTGCAGACCATTCCCTAAGCACTGCTAGCCTTCCCATCTCAACATCGCCTCTAAATAACAGTGTTAACTTGTTTTAAGAATCCATACTTTACAGACAGTTCATTTAAATACATCATCATTATAGCACTGTGGGTAAAGGGATGAGTAATCAGAAGCCCTAGAGAATCACTGTTTGTACATATGAGAATGATGCAATTGTTGGATCTAAATAGCAATACAACATAGAATCATAGGAATCAAACAACAGAGTTAACGTATTAAGAGACCAGGACCCAAAGTCAGCTCTGCTGTAGTCATGATGTCCATTATTGTTATCACAGTATCTAGAATTAAAAAAAAAGAATTGTTGTCAACATGTTCCACTTTTGTACTTTCTCTCTTTTTTTTTTTTTTTTTTTTTTTAATTGCATAAAATCATTTTCAAGGAATTTATTTTCTCTTGCTTGTCAGTTGAAATCATCATGACACTGCATTTCTTCTCTACATAGATGATTGTGACTTTAGAAAAGCTAGCAAGGATCTCAGTGTTGGATTTAAATCCTGTTTCAGTATGATATGCAAAATAAATCCCTCTTTCCATGTGATATGCAAGATGATCTCCATCTAAGCTATGCTGAATATTGATATATTGATTTATCAGCTGAAACTGAACCATTTGTGAAAACCGCAATGTAGTGAATGAACTCCCACAAAGTTTCATCATGTGAAGGACATGCAGGAATAGTTCTACAACTACATTCTTGAGATGTTCCACAATGCCCATAACAGCCTTCTATGGCACCCAACCAGGCCTCAACAGCAAAAGAGCTATAAGCAGTACAGAGCGATAGACGTTATATACACACACACACACACAGATATGTGTGCCTATGTCTATACATACACATGCATGCCTCTGAACCCTGAAAAGTTTCAGTTTGATGCACACTTGGTGCTCACTTTGCTGAGCTAGTCTACAGGCCTTTTTCAGAAGGCAGGTGTTCATGCCCATTCTCACACTCTCAGCAGCAATAGAAACCAAAGAGTAATAGAAACTAAACAGTAGGTAGGAGAAAATGAAAATTCCAAGTCAATGGCTACTAAAGTCAGACATGGGCACCCAGTCCTAATATTCTAACCACACATCTAGATTATTGGAAATCATCTTTCAGAAAAGCATGACCCATTCAAGCCCTAATTCCCACCAGGTCCGATTTCTCACTTCCCACAGCCCTTTCGCTTCTGCTAATTAAAGTTGCCACGCTGCATCGCTCCCAGGGAATAGTAAGCAAACATCAAGGTAGCGATCCCCGTGCAGAATGCTCCTCTAGATAAACACAAATAAAGAGAGAGATGAAATTTCTGAGCATCCTTTGGTTTTGCTCTATGTATATTGCAGCAATCCAATTTATAAGTGACAGGGCTGTGGATAATTTGCAGCAATCATCCCTGGAAGAATAAGCTACAACCTCTGAACTGTGTGTAGGAATGGAGTACAAAGCCCTCTTGAACATCAAAAGCCTCAACTTGCAGTTTTGTTTCAAGGTCTTATAGTCTAGTCAGATTTAAACAGAAAGAGTGCTCAAGTTAGTTGTCTGGGAAATAAATCAATGCAGATAATTAACCTATTACTATCTTGAGAATTGATTAGCATAACGAAACAAGTAGTGGGGCTATCATACATGCCACATTTATATTTGCTGTCCACATGCTGCATCTATTCCTCAATTCTTTTTCCTTCAACAATCATCAGAATAATTATTCTCAGAGAGTATTAGCTAGAGCTCAAGCTGCAGGCATAATTCTTACTTCCTTGGAGACCCAATTATGGGTTACAGAAGACAGTTGAATAGCTCTGAAGACAACCTCCTACTCTACATCTTCATATATGTTTAACCAAAATCAATTGTTTCACTTGTCTTTTGAATATGGCAGGTAAACAGAGTAACTTTAAATCCATTTTATGATGACTACATATATAGATTGTAGATAAGTTGTTTCCCTTCTTGGAATAAGTTTTCTACTTTCCTTTGTAGAAATAAAACACATTCGGTGTTAAGGGGATCTAATTAAAACTAAGTCCTATTTCCCCTTCAGAATTAATAGATGTGATACACTGCATCACTTGCCTTATGTGATTGCATCAAAGCATGGTTGAGGGCTGCACATGCAGCATCTATAACATACAAAAGGCTAAAATGTACTTCTTTGGAAACCTGGGATAAACTGTACCCTATTGAAAAACCAAGTAAGATCTGCAAAGATTCATCCACCTTAAAAGCTAATGAAAGCTGTATATTTTCAGCTGAAAATAATCAAATGCAGCATGTGGACACACGTCAACAGTTGAAGTCACATTAAATCTATGGAATGATATGGTTTCAATTAGTTTTATCTTCTTGGTCCTGGTTTGCATTTCTCTAATACATAACCTTATTACATTTCTTGGCATTTAAATAGAGATCTCAGACTCTCTTGCATATGAAAAACTAACATGACTCCCATGTGTAGAGGCTAAAAAAAAAACAAAAACCCTAAAAAATACCCAATCCTTGAGCTGAGCTGAAACAGTCTTGCAAAAACCATTAACCTCCACTCCTCCTCACTCAGCTGTTTTCTAAATTATAATATCAGTGATATTTTATATACATAAAAAAATTAAATTTTATTTAGAAAATTCATAATAGACAAGGAATGCATACTTGTTGCAGGCAGTATGTTTCCTCAGCTGAAGCACCCTAGCATTGTTTGCATTTACAGTTTATTACTATATAATCATACCAAAAAAAGATAACTTTGCAAATTCAGTTGACGTAGTAGCAGCCAAAACTCACCAATCAGTGCAGATAAGACAAGCAATGCTTAGCACCTTGCCATGAGACGATTTCACAGATTTTATCCTGGCTGACCTATGCTGGCTGCAGTTTCAGCCACTGGTTAAAACAGGAGACACAGATGTGTTGCCTTTGCCACTTTCGTTGCTCATATATTAACTGAGTATTTGCACCTGGTGTCTCACTTCATTTACTGGGTCATTACTGTTCATTACTTTTCCTGTTATTTCTCCAGTATTGCTCTACCCCATAAGAGATCCCACTCTATACAAGAATGAAGAAAGAACTGAAGAAATGTCAGCTAATACAGAGAGAAGCAAATCTTTGTTTCAGTTTACTATAGACAAATATTGCTGATCCATGCTCAGGAGCTTGAAGAAACATCTAATATGTTAATACTGTAACAATTCACAGGAGCATCTAGCTGCCCTTCACCAAGGGGTATAGATTAACTTTCCACTTAGCAAACAGACAAGAAGAGGGTAATGGTTTAGGGGCCAAATGAGAATACATGAGAGGTAATGTAGTGAGTGTTTTGAACCAGAATTTGTTATTAAATAGCTCCCTCAGACTTTAATGATTGGATACTTAAAAATCTAAGGAGGCATTTACTTGAAATGACTACTTTTTTTTTCCCTCTGTCTCCTTCTAACTCCCTATGTATGAACAGGGATTACGCATTCTCTCAGATTTATCCCCTTGTTTTCCTGTGTCCTGCTAGCCTTTCAACAGTCTCTCCTAGAACTGATTCCATTTGTTTTCAAACCTGGTTTATGTTATCTAGTCAATTCAGATTATCACCTCAAGGGAGGTATATTCACTTCCTACATGTTTCTAACATCTAGCAAGAAAGAAACAATAAATTATGTCTCTTATTCATCTTAACTTGCATTCTTCATGCCTTTAGTCTTCTTGTAAATCAGGAATGAATCTGAATGCTTCCCCAAGACAAGGCTTGCTCAATTATAAATGAAGTAAAATGTTTGTATTTCTGTAATTTAAGTCTTGTCTTGTTCCAAAAAAACTATATGTTTTCTCTTAACAACATTAGAAAAAATGTTACATGTTCAGGATTTCCAAAGCCACAGTCATGAAATGATCCTCTTTATCACCGGTTTTATTCAGCTTTTGAAATTGAGTTACAATTTATCCTAGAGTCTTGAGAAGTCAGATAAAGCAAAAACAATTTTACAATAAGATATAATGAAAATGCAAGAGAGTTTCAGTGCCCTACAATATTATATTATAATAATTATAGAGTCCTCCGTTAGGAGCAAAGAAATGGAAGTTTTTATGTCAGTGTTTATTGTAGTGTTGGTGGGAGATAGCAGACTGCGGCATGGGGAAGAGAATGACAAGTAAAGCAATCTCTGTCACCACAACCAGTATCTTCGAAAGTTCCAATATATCCAAACGATTGGATAAAGACGTAGCTTAGCAACTACCTCTATTAGCAACTACTATTTATTCATAAAGCAAAGCAAATATTCATAATGCTACACTTGTTTAAATTAGTCATTGAAATCAAGCCCACTCTGGAAAATGTAAAACATTGCTTAAGTTTATATTTAAAATGTTACTGTTGGATGGAAAACACAGTGAATTACACTTGTTCTTATTCTGCCTTATGCTCATAGAAATTTCAAGTCTCCTAGCTTACTCTGTAGTGCAAAAAAAAAAAAAAAAAAAAAAAAAATTGCATTGCAAAGACCATAAGCAAAAAAGAGAGAGAGAGAGATTCTTAAATATTACCTTCATATATGACTTCATGCTTAGTGGGAATATAGCCATATACTTGAATCAAATCTGGAAGACAGTCCTTACAGAGGGAATGAAGGCAGGGCAGCATTCTGGAGCTTTTCCTTCGCAGCTCCCATGTGCTGAGAAGATGTACCAAACATCTTCTCAGTAGATCCAGGGTCTCCATTTCTCATCTGAAGTTTAACATCAAGTAAATGAAGAGTCACAAAATGGCTCACGACAGCCCCTTCATTTAACAATACACACGATGACTCAAGTGCAAACCACAAAGTAAATGCAGGATGCACACTCTCAGGCAAAAACATTTATTTAATCCTTTTGGAGAAAGAGGAAACTTCTTGAGACAGAATAAAATCACTTATTCCCTTTACCACAAAAAAAAAAAAAAAAAAAAAAAAAAAAAAAAAGCTTTTCAGGTTGCTGCCCCTACCCAGGAAAGTATGGTTTAAGTTTTATAAACTATGATCATGGTATCTCTACATTACTTGTAACTTCTGTAAGAACTCAAAAAATCTGTTCTACAGATCTATCTACAAAGTTGTTACCACACTGAATTGTCACATGACATTCACTTCCTGCTAGAAAAGCTGAATATAATTACTTTTATTGCACTGTTTTTCACCTACTCCTTTTATAAGCTCATCTCAAGGATTTTCAGTTTCCAGGTAAACCACATAATAAGGGCAGAATCCAGTGACAATGGTTAGTAACCAAATTTTTTTCAATGATGAAACAAAATTATGAATGTCTCAAAGTCACAGCCTTTTCACCTATTTTATATTCACCAACTTTACTAAAATTACATATTAGACAAATTCAAACCTACGCCCCTAAAGCTCATAGTTGATTGCAAATTTCAAAATTAGAGATCTCTTTACAAATAGGATGCAGTGAAGGTGCCTGAGATGTAACTATTAAACATTGTAACAGTACTTTTTGTACAAGCTCACTTTTTACAGTGCAACTTCTTGAACAACCATCTTCCAGAGGCAGGGGTTCTTAGGGCTGCATCTCATCCTGCTTGGCCTCCTTTACTTCTTGCAACTACAGTTAACAAATTAGCACCTACAAAAACATACATTTTATGCAATAGGAAGTTGAGGTCTTTGAGAAACCACATCCCAGCACTAAAGCATCATTACGCAATGATTTTGTGCAAATGATATTGTGAAAGGCTGTATCACCATAAATGCCAAGCCAGTGGTTGAAGGTGCCACAATGGGTTACTGTAGATTTCAATTTATGCTTCTGGCATAACTTTAGAAACTATATACAAGTTTTCAGGAGAGCAGAGGATACGAGTGTGAAGAAATGTCAAAGTTTACTGCTGAGCCAGGAATGTAAATGCACCTGCATTAGCAGTGACTTGGCTACGCTGATGGGAAACAAGTCCAGCAGTAGTGATTACCATGTAAACTCAGCTAGATTTGGAGATGTGAAATGCGGGTCATGAGAAAGGAAACAGATTAAGCTGGGGAGGCAGCTGAGAGGCAGAGAGGCAGACACAGAACAGAATGAGAAGTACCAGGCAGTTGGTGCTTATCGGTCTGAATGGCGGGGAGGGAGGCAAAAGGTGGTTCAGGGTGTCCCCTCAAGACCCAGAGACCAGTCAGGACCAATGTAACGCATCAGTAGCCCCAAGGCTGATGCAAGAGAGCCATCTGGGTATTACAGGATTAGAACTGCTAGTGAAGCATTTATTTCATATGGGAGAATTAATAAAAATAACATTGTCATAACTGTATTTCTATATTTCAGGATTAAAATTTTTCCATTTTCTGCATTTCTCCTCTTGTTAAGATTTCATCAGGTGGTTTGTTTTTTCTTCTTTCCATGAAGTTTGACTGTTGCTACAACAGCCACGCTGCAATTTTTTAAAGCGTTACAACATTGTTTCTACCAGCCTTACCTGTAATTGTTTCATTAGCAGTACCTTAAATTGTCAAAAACGTTACTTTACTTGAAACCACAAAACTATTCCCATTTACCAATATGTATCAGATAAATAACCAAAAGGAAAATGCTTTACATTAAAAATTAATTGATCTTCATTCATTTTAGCATACTTGCTCCTGCTCTAATGTTACGGATCAACATAATACACACACACACACACAAAAAAAATAATAATAAAAAATCCTTACTGTGACATCCTCTCCTCCCAAGAGGAGAGAAACGGTTGGTGTTGTTAGTTACAAGGTTTTCTCACTAGCCCTCACGGGAATTTGTTAAGGCACTATGAAATACAGAAATGTCATCACCTGGAAGGCAGTGTTATCTGCCTACTGAATTAGCAGTGTTAACAATTCATCTTACAATTTTAAAGACAGTTGTTTCAATGCAATCAATACACAATCAATATAAATGAGGGTAGGGGGAAAGGTGACAAAGCAAAAATTCCATGACCGTTTTTCCCCTCAGCCACCAAAATCAGGATCCCAGTGCAAAACAGTGAACTCTTTTAAATGAAAGCATCCACAGAACTGGGTAAAGCGACTGAATAGCCGCACTCAACCAGCGTTGCCAGTGAGGGCAATTCGCTCGGTTTTACTCGGCGCCGCCGCACATCGCGTGTACTCCCTGCCGGTGCTTTGTCCGCAGCCGCGGCTCCCCCTCCGCCTCACGGCCGCGGGAGGCGCCCAACCGCCAACGGCCGCGGGAGGCGCGCGCCCAACCGCCAACGGCCGCTCGCGGGGCGGGGCGTGGCCGCGGCACCTGGGAGGCGCGGGCGGCGCGCACGTCAGCGGAAGCGGCTCGCGCCGGAGTCGTTGGCGGCGGTTGGTGGCAGTTGGGGCGCGAGCTGCCCGCCGCCGCGGTAGCGCCGCGCCTCGGCCGCGCTGGGGCTCCGCACGAGCAGCGGCGGGGCGGAGGGAGGCGGCCTGCGCCGGGCTGGCTGCTGCGGCACCGCCCTGCGTGCATGGCTTGCGCTCACCCGAGCAATTCAGGGCAAACGTGCAAGCGCCCTCCACACCAGCTTTTCAGGGACACTTGAGTACCACACACACACTGCGTTCCCTTTCACCTCACCTTCACAACCTACAGTGGTATCAGGCTATTTTAGTTAAAGATGAACTATTTTAATTACAGGAGCGCATCTCAGCCCAAAACCTAATTACTGGAAAGGGCTAGGTTAACAGATTGAAGGGGTTGCACTTCATGAGCAAAGACTGTGTCACTCATCCCAAAAGGTCACTTGCAGCTATCAGCAATACTTTAAAACTTTTAAGCAATCATAAAGGTTTAAGAAGCAAGCATACAAACCAGGTGGCCAGTGTCATCAGGTGGCACATTCATCATCAGGCACTTAAAATAAGAGGTAGTGAAAAGAAGCTCACTATAGGATATTGATAGTTTAAAATTAACCGTTACAGGTTCTGCTTTAGCACACAGGGCCAAGCTTTGCATTAACATCTGAGATTTGGTTTTCAGGGTAGCCATCCTCTGTGCTTTCACCATCACTTTAATGCAGGCACCTCAGAAATGCACGTAGCTGCCCATACAGTGCTTATCAATGCTAAGCCATTGCTTAGCATCAGCCACAGGGGAGGCCAGGGCCAGCAGGCACCACTGCTGCCCCTCACCTGGTAAAGTGACAAGCTGTGCACTCTACTTGCGGAAGGCAGTATCAGCTGCAAAAGCTACCTGACAGATAACACATTAATTCAGACAGCAAGCAACAGTTTCAGCACAATACCACTGTCACCTTATAGGTAGAGTATTTGGAGCGGGACTCCGTGAAGATAGTAATATAGTATTGCTGACACCTAAAAGCACACCAGCTGGGAACTACCATGTTTAAAACCCCCTAATGGCAACAGTGGGGTTAAAAAGCTTTCGCCTGAACACAAGCTGACTAGTTTGCCATGTTACTAATAGCACAGATCCATGATGTTGCCATTAAAACCACTAAGAACTATTAAACTCAAAATCAGTACCCTGCCAGGTCAATTTCATCCTGTGGGAGATCAGCCTCAATCACTACAGTCACAGAAAGGTTTGTCCCTGACAAAGACCAAAAGTTTGTTATATTCACAGGAGAGATACCATTTACACTATGCATGACTACCAGCCTCACGCTCCTACGATTACAGGATGGAAATATCTCCATTTCTACTCAGAGTAGTTTCTAAATGCAGCTAATTTCCATACACGGAGCAGAAGATGGAGGAGCAGCTGCAAGTCCTGCTAACTGCAGAGGGGGCACAACACAAGTCTATTCTCCTCAGAAGCTGGTGTTGCTCACGACACAGCTGTATGCTAGGCAGAACCCTGGGCAGCATCTGTACAAAAATGGATTTTTAATGATCTAATTACAAAAGACTGGTAATCATAAAAACAAGGAGAAACTTGGACTTATTTCTTACTTACTTCTCCTGATTCCCTGTTATATCCTACTTCCACCATTAGATGGAAACACAGCTAGAATTGTTAAGTCGTTCCAAAAGGAAGCCTGGGGTCTGCTGATCCCAAGTAACTGCCTACTCCAAGTCTATCTCATCCAGCAAGGTTTTATACTGTTACTCACTCTGCACTGTTTCGTACTTTGTCACTCTGTACTGTTCGTACTCTAACATTCCCATCCTCAAAAGCCAAGGCAGGGTCCTTGTGAAGAGGAAAACTGATTAAAAAAACTGCACAAATGCAGGAAGAATCAACTACCTGTTAAAGATAAAATAACAAGACATTATTACATGCCAAATCAGAAGTGACTGCTGGACACTGTAACCAGGCAGCCCCAAATCATATTGAGAATCATCTGTCAAACCACTAAACAAAAGCAATCAGTAATAACTAAGTAGACAAGACTTAAATCTGAACAGTACCTAGGGAAAAAAGGGACAAAATGAAAAGGAAAATAGGAAAACAGTTTCAGAAACTTCTGTAAAAGAAAATTAAATTAGTCATAACTTTTACATATTGTCTTTATTCAAAAAAGTTGATTAGAGCATGAAGGCCTTTATGCCACAAGCACACAGGCACCACCAACTTCTTTGATTTTCTCCTCTGCTCTTCTACTGAAGAACTTTGCTTTCACAATAACAGGCTGTTTAGGGAGCTTCCCCTTGCCCAGGACCTTGTAGTATCCCTAGAAAGATTAAAAAAAAATCCATTAAGCATTAGTCATCCTTCTAGGCTTCCACATTCAGACCGGTCTTTTAGCATGCACCAGTTAAACACAAATCAGGAACATCATGATATTTTCAGTGGCTATATCTCCAATACAACATTGACACAAGTGGAAAAAAAAATATTGTGCATGATATAGCAGAGTTGTTCAAAGAAAAAGCAGATTTTTTTAACCAGTAATTCTGTATATTTGAATCAGAAATTTTCAGCATTCCATACTTAAGTGGCTGCAAAGGCTCGTTGTCTCTTTCCCCCCACTTTTCCAAAGGACAGAGCAGACAGCGACCCTTCTGCTACTCACTACTACCCCGACTGCTTCTGCTCCACAAGCCCAGACTTCTGGCACTTCCCAGCACAGCAGAGGACTCTGCTTCTCACACACAGCTGAAGGGAGTGAGGGTGCCACACAGGCAGCTGTGTTTTATCCCATTTTCCGAGTTTCACAACAGTTAACTGTTCTCTCCCACTCACTTTGCTCCTGTCCTTTATATTAAAAACACCATCATGGCAAAATGCCCATTAATACCCCAGTCTCCAAATTCATAACTTGTTAAAAGCAGCAGCAAATACAGGTATGTCAATCTGCGGTGCAGAGCACGTCCACCAGGCAAACTAGTGTTCCTGATTTGGTGGCTGACTGAGATATGAGGTATCACAGCCAGTGAATAGTGATCAGATGTTTCTGTCCGAGAACTATAGCACACCAAGACAATCAAATGTGTTAGGATGTGACTCTAGTCTCGATTTTGAAGAAATAGGTTTACAGAAATCAGCAGCCTATTTTTACACATGCTTTCAGTAACAAGCTAAACAATTTCTCTTTCACCACAGTTTATAATAAAGGAAGCCCTTGCCATTCATCACTCTTTTAAGTATTAGAAGAATTTCTTAAAAAAATTAACACAAAAAATATCAGCTTAGCTACTGATATGCTAAGCATTGTACCTTATGTGCAGTTTGCCATTTTGTTAGTCCTGTATGCAGAGCTCAGTTACACATTACACGACCACAAAGGGCAGCTTTGGACACAAGGAGAAACTTACTGAGCGCACAACATCGATGACTGGGGCTAGGCCGGCCTGGTTTTTGGCGTAGTTGAGCCTGGTCTGCTCACTAACAAGTGTCCAGAGTTTATCCAAATTGACCGTAGGGCAGAACTTTTGGTTTTTCTTTAAGTGATAGTGCCTCATGCCTACTTTTCCAAAGTAACCAGGATGGCTGTGGAAAAAATACATTCTGCATTAAACTACATTTTTAGTTCACCTTAAACAGCACTATAAATCCACATCAGAACAAGTGTACTTGCTTGCTTCAAATGATCATAAAAAGATAATTTTCTTACTTTCATAGTATTCCTTTTACGACTAGGTGTAATATCCCATACTCTCCAGAACAAAGAAAAAAATTATTTTCTTAAGATACAATTATTATCCCTAGTAGAATTTGCAACTCAATCCTTCTTCTAGTGAGTCAGGTCCAACTCTACATCTCCTGGACAGCCCAAACTCCCCAACTTGGGGGAGGATGGTGCCGCACAAGGAGTTTCAGAGCTCCTGTCACTAACCTGGTGACTGTCTGAATCACGAATGGGCTCAGCCAGTGAATATAGATTAGTTGTTGCTTTCCGAGTACTCTAGCACACCAGGGCAACAGGCAGTGTCCAGATGTGACTCTAGTCTCGGCATTAACTAAACACAACGCTTGCATTAAGGAGGATGGTGTTTGGGTTTGTTTAACTTGGCACAGGTATCTCCTCAGCATGGACCACTCTGTAACACTCAAGTTTGGTGAATTTACCAAATACCACACTGAGCTCTCAAAAACGCGTGGTTTAAGTGCAAGGGTCTGTGATTTTGAAAGATATGAGGATACTAGGTGACCGTACCTATAGCATTACACTTTGTGGTAGAGCAAGTAAGACCGTAGGGAACTCTGGATGCCAACATATAAAAGCTTTATCAACTTGACGACTTTGAAAGCACATTTCCTTAGCGCATATTTAAAAAGGCATCTTACTATTTGTCGAAGTTGATCCTGTGGTGGTGCATACCGCCGGCATTACCACGGCCGCCAGGATGCTTCCTGTGCTTGCCTGGAAAGAGACCGCCCAGGTTCTTGGGGGGAAGGCGCCCCCGCGCTCGAGGCGCACAGCGCCGGCCTCGGCACGGGGAGGGAGCGCTGGCCGCCCGCAGACCGCGGCCGCCCGGCGCCCCCGGCACAGGGAGGGGGCCGCTACGCACCGATGCGGCCGTGGCCGTGGCTGACGTGTCCGCGCAGCTTCCGCGTCTTCCGCAGGCGGGAGGGCTGGGGGGGAGCGACACCGCGTCACGGCCGCGCAACGGCCGCCGCCGCCCGCGCAACCGCCCGGCCCGGCCCGGCCCTAGTCCGGGCTCAGCCCCGGCCCCAACCCCGGCCCGCGGCACCCGCCGCCCCAGGAGGCCGCTCCCGACGGCAGCCGCAGTCGCCTCCCCTTCCCCCTGCGCGCCGGCCCCGCTCCCCGGCCCCGGCGCTGCCCGGGCCGCGCCAGGCACCGGCCGCGCCACCCACCATCTTCTCGGCGGCCGCGAGGGGAGAGAAAGAGGGAAGCTCTCGCGAGAGCCGGGCAAGGCACGCGGCGCGCGGCCCGCCCCGCCCGCTCTCGCGAGATTCCCGGCGCGGCCGTTGTGCGCGCCCCGCCCGCTCTCGCGAGATTCCCGGCGCGGCCGTTGTGCCCGCCCCGCCCGCTCTCGCGAGATTCCCGGCGCGGCCGTTGTGCGCGCCCCGCCCGCTCTCGCGAGATTCCCGGCGCGGCCGTTGCGCCCGGCCGCCGGGCGCTCGCACGGAGCCGGTGCTCACACAGCCGCCCCTCACACTCGATAACGGCCCTGAGCGCGTCACTGGTTGTCTTCCCGCCTGTTAAAATGTGTTTCCTTACACACATCCGGGCCACCTCTAAAACACGGGCCTCGCACCCGGACGTGTTTCTCTCTCGGTTCCAAACGTGGCTCTTTCTGGTTTGAGGAACTAATTCAAGTCATTCTGTAATTTACAGAACATACGAGTTGAAATCAACATTTGTCATTCCAATTTTAATTAATATGAGGCATTTGGCATTTTACTGGTATTTCTTAGCATGTGCGCATGATTATGTGCTTTGTGCGCTTTGTATGTAAATGTGAGGGAAGAAAGGAAAAAGGAAATGACTTCACCTTTTTAGTGAACAAACCCTCAGAATTGCTCTATGAGGCTGATAGCAAACCAGAACCACGGCCAGGTCAGGAACTGCGCAAGCCTCAAAACCAGCCTGATTAAGCAAAGAAATCACACTGTAAATGGGAGGAGGGGAAAGGTTCTTTTTTTTTAAAGGGGGTGGAATTCTCATTACCAGGCAGAATTGCAAGGATTTTCAAACATTTTATGCTTTTTTTCCCTTCAAGCTAAGGCGAAGCTTGTAGAATAACAACAGTAGAGCAGCAAAATCACAGTATGTTATGTTACCAGATTAAAGATAAAGACGGTACTTAGGGAATATTCACTGCCCTGCAGAACCAACCGTGTTGGTCCTGCTCAAGGGTCTTCATGGAGATGAAAGCACCACCTAGACAGAAAGACATCAGTGTAAAAGGAAGGTCATCAGCCCATCAGAAAGTTGGGCAAAGGCTCTGCTCAAAGCTCTTGTTCTACTCAGATCACTGAACAAGTGAGCTCAAAATCAAACTAAAGATAACACAGTTCAGGAGCAGTATTTGTGATATTAACAATGGCAAACATTAATATCCCGTGTAAAGTAAAAAGGCAATAAAGAGATGATTTGCTAGCTTTACATCAACAGAGCAGTGACAGAAAATGTCATTTAAGCCCTAGTGAATAATATCAAGAAGGAAGAAAAGCCTGCATGTGTGAAATGCAGCAAACCTATTAAGAGACAGGTTCATAATAATAATTTTGTATTTTAATTACAAATTCATTAAAAATAACAGAAAAAAATACTCTGATTTTGTATCTACTCAACAACAGAAATCTCCAAAGGTTTCCAATGAATGTAAACAAATAGACATATTTACACAGTTTATTAGAAACCATACTTACATACATAAGTAAAGGATGTAATGTACCTAGCCATGGCAGCTTGCATGTCAAAGAACTGAGCTTTGCTCTTGTTTAGCAGTCCTAATGCAAAATGTGTTACAAGTAGTTTACTGACCAGAGTTCAAACCAAGTAGAAGTTTCGTATCGTGAACCAAGTACCTTATTATAAAGTTATTTGGTAATTCTGAAGGAAATTAGGAAAAGGAATTCCAACTCTGCAGTGCACATGCAGCCCCTTGCACAGAGCCTCTCCCACGTGCGCCAAGTGCATTCGGCACCGCAGGCCTTGGGCATCAGTGTTGTCCTCACAAACATCCCTTGAAGTCAGTGGTTCTGCTGAGACAGTCAGCTGCACATAATCAGCTATTCATTTCTTGCACCAAGCATAACTCAATTCATACTAAAGAAAAAAGCACCTGTTATTCTCAGGAATATACAAATATTTACCACAGTTCTCCTTGCTCATTACAAAATCAGTTACAAAAGCTTACAGCACATTATTTACAAATTCTGTCCAAATACATAAAAGAGCCATCGCCTGGCACACTGTTTAACAGCATCTGCAGTCACTTAAAGCTATGGTCAGCTTCTTTCATTCTCCTCCTCTAACATCCGAAAATTTGCAGGTGTCTCAAGCACAGTGTCATAAATAGTCTTTGGGTCGGTGTTTTAGCAGAAAGGAGTTAATTCTTCTTGTGAAGAAACTTCATTTTGTTCCCTAAAAAAAACAACATTAGCCTTTAGCATATGCTGAAAAAGCGCAAAACTCGCTTGGCGAGCGCGTCTAGTTTGTGATGGTAACTGTTGCAGGGTGAACCTTCTAATTAATACAAATAGACATATCCAATTAAAAGAATCTTGGATGGCCAAAGTTTTGAGTATTTTTCCCCAAATGGCAATTAAAGTGCTAACAAGGGTCATAAGTAAATCTTTGTCAGCTTTAAATATATTTTCTTCTCCTTTTGATATTTCTTAGCATATACTGAAACCACTAGTTGATTACTTGATTTCATATCAGGTAAGGTTTTTCTAAACTGAAAAAAAAAAAAAAAAGCATTTCAGCAATACTTCTAAAGATTTTCCTCACCAAGGCCTCGCAGGAACTTGTTTACTCCGCTCTGTTCTGTGTCTGGAAGTTCTTCCAAATACTGTTCGACCCTCTGTTCGAAGAGACCTGCGGAAGAGAGTAAAAAATGCCTTTGACGAACGCTTTCTCAAGCTCATCCCCTTCCCCCTTTCCTTTACATACTCCCAATATTTACGTTCACCATCCCTGTCTTTGCCTCTAGCGCTCAAGCAATTTGCTGGCCCGCTGGTCTGCACTCCAGCTTCACAGGGCTGTGCTCCCGCGAAGGGAGAGGGAGCACAGCTCCCTGTGCTCCCCTGTGGGGAGAGGCAGGACAGGCATTTATGCAGGCACTGTCCCCCCGGGCCACCTCCTGTGCCTGGGTGACCAGCGGCAGTCGTGGCAGCAGTGGCAGCAGCCGCAGCCTCACGGCGGCCCTGGTGGCCACGCAAGGCTGTTCTGGCACACCGGGAGGCCGCAGCTCGGCTGCCCTCCGGCTCCCCCGCCGCACGCAGGGCTGTACCCCCCTGCACGCTCGGTGGCCACCAACCTCCCTCCAGGGTGCCCCGGGATGTTGGGCTTCCACAGCTGCCGGCGGCAGGAGCCGGGGATGGGCTGCTGCCCTGTCCGGCCCTCCACGCAGCGCTGCTCGCCACCCTGCCACGCTTCCCGCGCTGGGGGAGGCGCTTCCCGCGCGCCTGACCCTGAGGCAGGCTCCATCTGCAGGAGAACTGCGGCTGCAGCCAGAGCTCACCTAATAAGGCCTTTAAAATACATTTAAATCAATCCTGTGGTTGAGAGAGTTTTGTTTTAGCAAGGCCTTTGTGCTTTCCTTTGCAATAGCATCATCCAGGAGCCCCTAGGGCTGTTTCACATCATTCCCTGTTGTGGCACAATTCCACCCCTGGAGGACTGCAAGACATTCAGATAGAAAGATTCTTCTGGCTCAAACCTGCATGTTATCGTCAGTCCTGCTGCCATGAGGAGGGAACCGTGTTTCTGTGATTCTGGGTTAGCTGCAGGGAGCTGTGATGTGGCTCTGGCACTGGGCAGTGCTGCAGACTGCGGGATCACAACAACGCTCTGCGCCCCAGCTGGAGCAATCACCCTTACCTTTTGCCCTGCATTTTCTCAGCTCTCGATCCTGGATGAAGCCAGCAAACATTTGGGATTCCATGAACACCTCCAAGAAGCGGCGGATACTCTTGGAGGCCACGGATTTACGGAATGCCTCTCTTTGGAAGGCACGCTCTCCCTTCTCATTCTGGGTTAGGAACAGGGAATAATGGCCAATCGTCTCCACAAAGAATCGGATAAAAACCTCGGACACTAATCCATTCAAGGTGTTACATTCTGCAAAATAAGGCAGCAATAAGACATCAGAACTGGTACGACACGAGCTCTCAGCATCGCCATCCACACCGGGCCGGACGCAGTCATCTAGCAGCTTTGTGATGCTCTGCCTACCACTGCAAGCAGTTGTGCAGCTCCTTGAGGCCTTAGATAGCAGTCAGGGAGGGAAAAGCCTAACACCCTTTTATCAAGAGTGCCAGTCGAGGTAACTGGTGTTTCATAACTGAGAATCAACAAGAGCTACCAATTCTCAGGAGATAGGGCAGGAAATTAAAATGTGTGTCAGTGCTTCATTAAAATTGTACCTCTGCTTTTAGCTTTAAATCAGTGTCTTCTTGAGAACCTCCTGAACGGCTGACAGTTAAAATGTTTGCTCTGTCAATAATAAAACTTTACCACAAACTGATCAATAAGAGTACAGACTTTGCTTTCTTAATCACTTTTGAGATGTTAAAATAGCTTTACATATGTATAGCAAAGATCAGTAGAAATAAATTTCAAAAACTGAATAGAGGCCCGTTTCATACCTCTTAACTACAGGCATTCGAATTCACTGTAGGCTGTTTGTATAATTGCTGGAGAGAAATACAGACCCACAGAAGCAATTCAGGTGTTCTAGCACACAAGGCACTTTCTGGAGGTCTCTGCTTCTCTCCAAAGCCCAACATAGCCCTGAGCACCCATAGTTACTTGCACTGACTTAAGGCCCAGCAGGCTCCAACGCTATGTGAGCGTGGAGGTGCTCAGGGCTTGAAGGTGCTCAGGGGAGTACGTGCCCTTCACAGAGGAATGTGCACAGGTTGCTGCGGGTGGCTCACTGGTGCTATCAGTCCCACTGCCTCTGCTCTGAGATCATCTTTGATGTCGAAGGTATTTCAGCACTGAAGGTTCGTCCTTCTCCTGGATGGAGTCACAATACTATCTACCTGTCTATTCATACAAACCCCATTTCCAAATGAACTTACCGTCATCAGAATCGCTATCTGAATCCTGATTTATCAGTTCATTCTTTCTCTCCAGAGCCTGCTCCAGAGCTGCTTGCAGCTTTCTAGGTAATAGTGTATCCTCGTCATCCATCTGAAGGAAAAAAAAAAAAAACCTTCAGTCAACCATACAGTA